GTTGCTAAGGCTTATCGCTAGCTAAATCAGTTTTGCCGATGTGTTTCCGTTCACGTGACAGTCCCCACTAACCCAATCTTATCTCAACGCCATATAATGCCGTATCGTGAAATTTTCTTCTAGGCTTTCTCTCCTTCTCAACAAACTACGGATCTGTGCTCAGCGGTCCTCTGCGTTCACGCGTTAGGGTCGACTGCTGTGCAGCTCGATAACTCTATGGAGCCATCAACTTGCTATGGTGTCAATCATCCTATCGACAGGTCCAAGAACAACTCGGCCTCTAGCTGCCTCATTCGCCGTCGAAAGATGGCTTGAGTGTTGTGGCTGGAGGATTCGGGGGCCCCATATTCCAACCCTTTTTTCCAAGGCCGTCGGCCGATGAGGTTGAGGAAAACCATGGGTTGCCTACATCACGATGCTGGTGCTCCGTATTAGCATTTCCGCCGCGGCCGTTGAGCCTCATGTTAGCCTTCTGACCCGATGATGCCATCTGACTAGCTGCACGGAGTAAATATGATTAATTGTGCAACGGGGACGATGGAAAACATGCACGAAGTAACCCCGATGAACCGGCCATGGAAGAAAGGATCCCTTGTTGGTGGGGCGAATGGGAGACTGCTTACATGCCTCGTGACGAGTTTTGTCGGGCCACAGCAAGCCTCTTGGGATTCTGTCAATGGTGACAATTGCTGTATGATGACAGTATGTTGGCAAACGCACCAACAAGCACTTTATCAAGCCTAGCTTGGCGTGTGCTTGGGTGAGTTTGATTACTTACTCCATCGCGTCTCAATGCATGTGAAGATCTATGTATGTACCTTAAAAGGAGCAACTTGGCTACGACGCATTACCTCATGCAGCCCGGCCCTTTTTCCCTGTCCCTTTTTCCTCCGCTTCACGCCATGTTCTTGTTTTCTCCTATCTCTAGCACGTGTGAGGCAGCTCGGCCTTGGCACAGAGATCCAGACGCATATGCGAAGATCTTGGTCCACCGCAGGCTGTCATCACGAGCCCTCGGTTGCTTGTGAAACACAACTCAGCTCCCCAGAGCTCGTAGTAACGCCGACTCGGCGTCTTCTGTGCCACACGCAGCGGAACTTGCATGATGCCAGAAGCTGAAAATTTTTCTAATTGATGCCGTCTCGCCCATCTTGTCGCTTCTGGTAGGCACCATACACGTGCTATCAATGCAAAACACACAAAAGTTCCGGCTGTGTGAATGGGATTTGCAAATTCGAGGCCGTTGAGTCTAGGGTAGGGCGACTAGTACCGGAGGCTAAAGGCGGTAGTGGGCGGGAACCTGGCAACTGCAGACTCACAAGAGACATGAGCCGGGATGCTGCCCCACGGGGGAAGTTGGAGATGCGGAGCTGCCCCTTGGAGCTGTTGGAAGCTTTGCTCGGAGCCTTTGCCTCTGCTGACTAGGAGTATCGCTGGTTCGTTTTCGCTTTCTTCTCACCGTGCTTTGGATGCTAGCCGATGGCTTGCCTGCTCCCTGCTCACTGCCTCCCTGCCTCGCCTCCCCTCCCTCTCCTTAGCTGCTCATGTTCTCCTGACAGCGTGACTAATGACGCGTTGCCAGCCTATTCGCCTGACGCATCCCGGCCTCTGAGTCTAGCTCGTCACGCTGACCAGGCAGAGCAGCAAGCCGCTGGCATGATTGGGCCGTGCCCTGGCTGGCATCAGCTGGCCATCCGCTGCCACCCGAGACCGCATCACCGACTCGTCGGATCTCTCCGAGAAGGAGCTGATCCTGGGCGGCGAGACGATTGAAAAAGGCCGTCAGATCCCGTATCCAGAGGCAAAGAGAGAGAGAGGCTCGTCTGTCTTACATTCAGCCAGCCCGCGTGAAGAGGAGCAGACAGAAGGATAGAAGAGCCGAGCAGGAAAGAGCTGAAGATCCCTGCAATTGTCCAACTTCTGTTTATTGCCATCGCCGCCGCTTGCTCTTTTGTTCCTATCCCGCAGCCGCTGAGTGCAACCCGCCATATTCGCCCGGCTCTTCTTTTCGCAGGTTTGCACCGCCCGCCGCGGCACTTGGGCCCCGGAGAATCGGCCCTTTCACAGCGTTGCGGCCCTCAGTTCCCCATGGGGATGATCCGCACATCCACTCTTGGCCCTGTAGACCTTTTGTCGGTCCGAGTCGGACTAAACTGAGTGTTGAGAGTTGTGTCTACGCACGACGTTGCGGGCAACAGCTCATCTCATTGGACCAAGTCGGCAAAACGAAAGCCGTTGTTGTTATTGCGAGAAGTGCTCTGACTCGGGGCGCCGTATCATAAAGATGCCTGCCTTCGCCATGGACCTGGCCGCGAGCCACTCGGCATCGGCTCTGTCTCTCAACGTTTCCTCTCACACGTCCTCCTTCATTCCGCCCATCATGCATGTGCTGTCGACTGCTGTGCTGCTTGGCTCAGTTGCCGTCCAAAAGGTTCTGGGAAGGCCAGGATCGAACGGCCTGTCCGGCGTCACAAAACGATCCGTGGATGACTTCATCAACACACAGACTCCCATTGCACTAAACAACCTCCTTTGCAATGTTGGCCCTGATGGGTGCCGTGCCTTTGGTACATCGGCCGGTGCTGTGATTGCATCTCCGAGCACAACTGACCCAGACTGTAAGTTTGACTTATAGCGGCATATTCCTGACATGTCAAATTTCACATACTAATACGAGGGTAATTGATCAGACTACTACATGTGGACGCGAGACAGTGCTCTTGTCTTCAAGAACATTGTAGACCGCTTCACTGAGCAGTATGATGCTGGCCTGCAGCGCCGCATCGAGCAGTATATTTCTGCCCAGGTCACTCTTCAGGGGATCTCAAACCCCTCTGGTTCTCTCTCGGATGGGTCTGGTCTTGGTGAACCCAAGTTTGAGTTGACCTTGAGCCAGTTCACTGGCAACTGGGGTCGCCCGCAGCGCGATGGCCCAGCTCTCCGAGCCATTGCCTTGATTGGCTATTCAAAGTGGCTCATCAACAACAACTACCAGTCAACGGTGTCAAACATCATCTGGCCCATTGTGCGGAATGATCTCAACTATGTTGCCCAGTACTGGTTAGTACAAGCTCGCTGTCTCTTCGTCTTGTTTATGACTAATTCTAACACCTTCACCTTAGGAATCAAACCGGTTTCGACCTGTGGGAGGAAGTCAATGGTAGTTCGTTCTTTACCGTTGCCAACCAGCACCGAGGTATGTATCAATATCTCATGTGTTTTTAGTTGTCAATGCTGACGAGTCCCCCAGCTCTTGTTGAGGGCGCCACACTTGCCGCTACCCTCGGCCAGTCGGGAAGCACCTATTCCTCTGTTGCTCCTCAGATCCTGTGCTTCCTCCAAAGATTCTGGGTGTCGGGTGGATACATTGACTCCAACAGTAAGTACACCAGCACCACATGCTTTGATGAAGAGCGATACTAAACAGCTTGTCATAGTCAACACCAACGAGGGCAGGACTGGAAAAGATGCCAACTCTCTTCTCGCATCTATCCACACGTTCGATCCCAGCCTTGGCTGTGACGCCTCTACCTTCCAGCCTTGCAGTGACAAGGCTCTCTCCAACCTCAAGGTTGTTGTGGACTCCTTCCGCTCCATCTACAGTGTCAACAAGGGCATTCCCGCTGGCGCTGCTGTTGCCGTCGGCAGATACCCCGAAGACGTGTACTTTAACGGAAACCCCTGGTATCTCGCCACGTTCGCTGCTGCCGAGCAATTGTACGACTCCGTCTATGTCTGGAAGAAGACAGGCTCCATCACGGTGACTTCCACTTCTTTGGCCTTCTTCCAGGAGCTCGTTCCCGGCGTCGCGGCTGGAACTTACTCCAGCAGCCAGTCTACCTTTACGAGCATCATCAACGCCGTCTCGACATATGCTGATGGATTCCTCAGCGAGGCTGCCAAGTACGTCCCCGCTGATGGTTCGCTCGCCGAGCAGTTCGATCGCAACACCGGCACGCCTCTGTCAGCCGTTCACCTGACCTGGTCGTACGCCTCGTTTCTCACCGCCGCGGCCCGTCGGGCTGGCGTTGTGCCCCCCTCGTGGGCCAGCAGCGGCGCTAACTCAGTCCCTTCAAGCTGCTCGGGAGCTTCTGTGGTTGGATCCTACTCGCGTCCTACAGCCACGTCATTCCCACCGTCGCAGACCCCCAAGCCTGGCGCTCCTTCTGGTGCTCCCTTCACTCCCATTCCCTGTGCTACCCCGGCCTCCGTTGCCGTTACCTTCCACGAGCTTGCCACAACCCAATTTGGCCAGACAATCAAGGTCGCTGGTAGCGCCCCCGAGCTGGGCAACTGGAGCACGAGCGCGGCCATTGCTCTGGATGCCGTCAACTATGCCACTAACCATCCCCTGTGGATTGGATCGGTCAATCTGGAGGCCGGAGACGTCATCGAGTACAAGTACATCAGCGTGGGCCAGGATGGTTCCGTCACCTGGGAGAGCGACCCCAACCACACCTACACTGTTCCTGCGGTGGCCTGTGTCACCGAGGTGGTTAAGGAGGACACCTGGCAGTCATAATAAGTGAAAACATTGAGGTTACAGATTGCAGATTGCACATGGAAGATTGCCAAAAAAAAGTGGGATATATCGGGCAACCAGCAGGGAAGAATGCTCTCCATGATTACTCGTAGGCGTTACAGCATGTATATTAATTTAGCCGTTATGAATCAGACATGAATATACCATACAATATGGAATAACGTCTTGCATGGACGAGTCTCACTGCATGGCCAATGTTTGTACGCCATATTGGCGTGTGACTCGAACAAAGTCCGTTTTCATTTCGAAGCTAAACAAATGAAAAGAGCAATAATCAATAACGTGAGCATGTGCAACACTCCATTTGCACACTAACAGAGGAAACGACAATGTCGCTTCCATCCTGATGAACCGGATAGTGCCCAAAGAAAGTAGCAAACCCCTTTGCGTCCTGGTTTTGCTTAGTAGCATACCATCCTCTTTGCGTTTTGCCTTTGTTCTAGTTGACTTGATTCCTCTACGCAAACTCATCCTCAACCTCCCACTTGTTTTGGATATCGGTGTAAATCTTTTTCTGCCATTCATCCCCCGGGTTGCCTTGCAGTACAACATCAATCATTCCTCGGTCCTTCTTTCTAATGGCTTCGTTCAGGTCAAAAAGCGGCGTATACCTCCCCTGGACCTTTGCTATGGCGATTTTGTGATCATTCGGGTTTGTTTGCATTAGCAGCTGCGCTTCCATGTCAATTTGCTGATACTTCGGGACGTCGCGCAATGTGGCTACCGCGTTGCACTGGGCTAGACGGCAGAGGCACCACTTGAGGCAGAAATCAGGGATACTGAATTTGTGCTTTTGTGGGTCGACTTGCAGGGTCTTGATAATAATCGCGTAGGCGTTGAGGGCGTCTTCGTAATGGGAGTTCTTGGGGTTAATCTTCGCGGCAGAACGGGCATCCTTCTGGGTAGAATCGGCATCCTCCTTGGTAGAATCGGTATCCTTCTCGGGAAGATGGGGAAGGAGAGTGGCGATGAAGACACTGAGGTCAGCATATCGATTATATAGGGTGTTGGCATTCCTAATGTTCGCACGCATTAGCCATCAATCAACAATGGAGGTTTGACCCAGTACTCGAGCGAGGGGGAAAACGCACAGCGGCGAGTCCAAGCGTATAAAGTCAGCCGCTTCTTTGTAGGCGTTACGCGCTTCTTCTAGAGGCGGCATCATTTCACTCTCTAGCCACTCCAGATGAGCCTTATCCTCGTTACTAAACACTGCCTTCGACTGCAGCCGCTGCAGCTCGTGGACATCACGGGGAGTCGGCTGTGGTTCCCCCTTCAGAGCGTTCATGATTTTCTCCTCATCGGGAGTCAGCGTCTTCGAACTCAATAGGTTCTTCTTCGCCTGCACAAGCGGGGCCGCAATGTCCTTCTCATATATCTGACCAATTGCATCGTACATTCTCGACAATCTTCTCAGTTTACTTGAACTGGAGGACGACTCGGTCAATTTAATGGCCTTTTTCCGGCAGTCTATCGCCTTCGCCTTCGCCTCGGCCTTTTGGTTGTCGTTGATCGGCTTGACCTCCTCCAAGAGGGCTCTTCGGTAAGCATCGGAGGCATGGACGTAGCTGTCGGGGGCCTCGAAATCATCCTTGAGATACTTCTCCTGCGTTTCGCCTGCTTTTATATATGCAGCAGCTGCATCGAGAACTATTGAAAAGTCAACCACAACGATACGCCAGACAGCAACTGTGAAGTCCCCCCCGAGGGAGCTCTCAGTAGAGCGGAGAAACCAAAAGGACGGAGAAGATGCGTACAGTTACCCTTCATCTCGTATGCCTGGCCCGCATCCCTGTAGCAGGCGGCAGCTTGCTCAAACCTCTCTTCCGAGACGCCAAAGAAACTCCATCCGCTCTTGCCCTTAGCCACGAGCTTCTCGGCCTACCGTCTCAATCTGTTAGCAAAGCGCGTTCTTACTTCCTCAGCTTCAGCCAAGAGACAAACAAGAGGCGAACCTGTTGGATGAGAGCCTCGGGATTGTTCATGATGTCGGTGTTCCTAGATTCGAACGGTATCAGATACGAGAGCGGGTTGCATTTGATAAGTGCGTGATGCAGAGTCGTCCGGACCGATGGCAGGAAATAAGCATCAGGCTTGATATGGGGTTGAGGCGACATGGTCTCTGGCTGTTTCGGAGTTAGAGCTATATGTACCCGGTTATCAGCAACTGGTCGCAACTGGCCGTGGAAGAGCCGGGAGTATGTTAAGCGTGACTTTGGCTGGACTATCCCTTTGAAGCAGGTAAGGCACGTCGCTTGTATTTATGGGTCAATGGTAGCCAATAGGATGCTAGAAAAATAGAGGTACTTCTAATTACATAGAAATTGGGGCATGATATAGGTACCAGCATTTAGACCCGGTACAAATAGCTACATCGCACTTATCGCAACGCCAACCCGTCATAACACCGCGTGCCTTTTTTACGGTGGAAGGTTGAGGTTGCGATCGCGATCGTGATCGAATTTCTCCAACGCGTAGCCCTTGGCAACCTGCACAAGCTGCCCGCTTCTTCTGAAAGACGTGATTATGTTGTAAAATAGGTGTATAGATGTCTCCGGCTCGAAATCTTTGCCTTGATGTACCCTGATAGCTATACCTTTTGAAGATATCGCTGCAAAGGCGCGAGCGCCACTCAACCTGACTGGTGATAACCTCCCAGCTAGGATTACCCTGGTGCTGCAGCTTATAGCTATTCACAAGGCAAATATCAAGGAGAAAGGACCATGCTAATGCCTGCCAACCTCCCCTACGAAATCGATGATCGTATCCTAAGCCGCTTCGAAGCTGATCACCGATATCCACAGAGCCCATTTTGAAGTTATAGTCGGTTGCTATCACGGGCACGGGTAGCTCCTTCCTGCCTTCCTCGCCGAAGATAAGCCTTATCGGCTGTGTGTGCGGCTGTGTGGCTTTCGGTCGCTTTCGAATTCGTTGATGAAATTCATCGCCCTGATGTGCCGTGCTGAGGAATAGCACGAGGGTATTATCTTTCCACGCGATCTGATTGACCTAAACGCTCGAGGACGCGTTAGTATAGGTTTTCCTAGTAAATCTGTCTCCGGGGATTCCAACAAGACCGTTTTCAGTAGGCTCTGCTACCAGCTGGCCCCAAGGCCAGCACTTTCCCTTGCGATCTTCATTTTTGGCTGCAATAAGGGCCTTTGAGGCACAGTAATTCGTACGCAGCGTGCCCGTTGCAGCGTGCCCTTGATCACGAAGCAGCCGGAAGAGCAGCGGTGTGGAAAAGAGGTTATCCATGAAGACGTGATAGCTGGCGCTTTCTAGCCTGTTCACTAGGGAAAAAACCACAGCTTGCGTCGGGGCCAAGGCATCAGGGCCCTCTGTGCCTCTCTTTCGTTTGGAAGGAATCAGCGAGGGAGGCACGTAAAATTCCCACTGAAGGAAATAGCCGGCTTGGGCCACAACCTAAGCTTTGAAGCCTATTGGAATCGGCTTTCCTCGTACGATCGTTGTCTCGCGAGACCTTCCCGTATAGCGGATCATACACTCATCCACAGCTATATTCGTGCCTGGGGTCCATAACGCGGTCGACGAAGCTTGTATGTGACGAGACCACTGTTCAACGCGCTTGAAGCTCTTCCCGGCAGCCGCGATCGCGATCGTTGTAGGGTCAAAGATTCGAATTCGCCGTAAAATCTGCTGGAACCTCTCATGTGACATAAATCGGATAAAATCATGATTTGGCCGCGATGTTCTGGCTGAAGAGAGCTTCCAGTAGTCCCGGATATTGATTTCTTTATGAATTCCCATATAAATCAATATCCCAATCCACAAGTAGATCTCATCGACTGAAACAGGGCTCCATTTTGGCGGCGGCCCGTACGGGCCAGCCGGCTGGGCTAGATTCGTGTATATTACCCATTCCTGTACTAAGAAAATAGGTAGAAAATATTGGAAAAGTGACAAAGGCGTTGGCGGCAAGGGATGGATAATAGGAGCGCGCTGGTTAACCTGTAATGGTTCAAATTCATCGCTATTCGTAATTGCAACAGCAGGGTGAGGCAAAAGTGACGATATCACATTTTCAGCGCGTTGCAGGTCACTCAGAGCTTCTAGGTCGTTTTTTTCTTCTTTTTTTGGATCCAATTGATCCATTTGAAGGTATTCTTATAATAAATTACATAGTAATTCCTATAGCTTTCGTTCTGTTAGGACCTAGGTCACGATCGCGTACCGCGTTGCTGACAAAGGTGGGTCGTTATCAGATACCTGCCGCGTGCCTTACCTGCTTCAAAGGGATGACGATGCGAGGTAGCGGTGGCAGTGGGGAAGGGGGATTGGGGCGCAGCTGACTATCCTTCAAGAGGCTGGAGTTTGCTTGGATACTGCCAGATCCGGACTAACCCTGCTCCGCCCTTCGGACACATGCACAGTATCAATAATATTTGCGTACTCACTTGTGGCATCAAAAATCAAATCAATGAATGGACGATATCAGTTACACCAGCTGATATTCTGGTTTCGAAGCATCCAAGATATCGTCATTCACTTCTCACAAAAATCTATATTCTAAAGCCAAGCCAATCGTCACAAATGTCTCTCTGCGCCAGATGCCGTCTATCATGCCTCAGGCAAAACCTTCGTCCCAGGCAAATAACAGCCACAGCCTCTCTATCAACCAAGTCCTCACCATCCTCAACAGCTCACGAGATCCTCTCCAAGCCAACCTGGTCCGTCAGCTCCCTACTTCCATCTGAATCACACTCCGCACCAGAAGTCATCACTCCCTCTCAATTGCACCATCTGCTGCGTCTATCTGCGCTCCCCTTGCCCAAAACCCCAGCCGAGGAGCAGTCCATGATTGCGACGCTGCAGAGCCAGCTACAGTTTGCGCGGGCAGTGCAGAGAGTCGACACCAAGGGAGTGGAGCCTCTTCGAGCTATTAGGGATGAGACAGAAGCTGCAGTCAAAGAAATAACCATTGGATTGCAAGACTTAGAGGAGGTGTTGGCGCAAGAGACCCTTGTCGGCCATTATCAAAGACCCAGGAGGGTCAAGGAGCGCATTGAATCCGACGCTGAGAACTGGGATGTACTGGCAACGGCATCAAGAACAGCTGGGAAATACTTTGTTGTCGAGAGTGGGAAGAAAGCTGAAGCTGGGGAACCATGAGTACCATCTCTGTCTTATTCGACATAGTCTGCTGTAACCCTGTGGTATATGAATCGGTATATGCCTAGCTAAAGGTTGCCGCCTTTGTCCACCTCTGTTTTTTTGTACGATACCCTTGATAACAAGCAATAAAGCCGCATTCCCTCCAAAGAAAGAAAGAAAGAAAAAATGTTAAAAAAAATAATGCCATGTGTTCTTCGTTTTAATGAAGAATGTCGCCGTGTGTTCCCCATTTCAATGTGAAAACAATGTCGCCGTGTGTTCTCATTTCCGTGCAAGCATCCAAAGCCCAAAACAATAACCTTAAACCCTTTAAGCAAACCTAAACCATGTGTTTAACTCCAACCATGCGCTTTCTTTCCCGGAAGTTGTTTTGTGCTACTTGGGCACCTCTTTACCCGTATCCTTTGGCTTGGGCTTTGGTATCTTCTCGTAGGCATTTGGACTCGGTGCCCTCTTCTGGCTGTTCCTTTTGCCCCGTCCGTGGTGATGTCTGTGTCCATGATCATGAGAGTGACCACAGCCGTCCTTGTCGCCGCCAGCTTTCTTTTTGCGTCTAGATTCAGCCTCCGAATCCGAATCCGAATCTGATGAGGAATCAGACGATGACTCGTCGCTGGATTCGTCAACTCCCTTGGGTCGATGGTATATGCAGCACACTATCCACAAACTCTGTCAGCTTCATATTCCAGCTTCCCAGGCTGTTCTGTCGCGTTACATCCAAAGAACATACCTTTTGAGCTTTTGCGACCCAAACCCTCGTTATCAACCACATCCTCAGCCCACGACACCGACCTCCCATTCGAAGTATGCCCTCCCCTCAAGCGCAAAATCACCCTGGGCGAACTCTCCGCCGTCTCCGGCCGAATAGTATCCGTCGTCGTCTGTGACGCCGGAGGCGCCTGCGCGCTGCGCTCCTGCTGCTGCGACATTGGTGGGCAGTGGCGCTTTGGGATCTGCACGGAATCTAGATGGGATCTCTCGCAGTTCTTGCTTTTTTTTTCTGTCTGGGGCGTGTGTGTGTCTTGTTGATCGCGCAAACGCCAAATGAAGAGAGGACTTGAAAAAGCCTCTTTCTGTGTCGGTATGCGGAACGAGGGCAGGTTTTGTGTGGGTTGTTTTGGAGGGGGGGAGATGGATAAGGAATGATTTGACAGGGCGGGCTTGTTGTTTTTTCGTAGATGTCATCGATAGGCAGAAAAACGGCCAGGAACAGGTATTGGCCCCGCGGTTCCCCCCAAACGGGGTATTTACCAGCCTGTTCAGGTGGCGTCACTCAGTAAAATGTCACCCGTAATTTGGGTTCTAGACTCTGTAGTCTGGCCATCATTAATAAGATGATATGTACTCTGCAATGCCTTGCTTTCTCATTTCTTGATTTTCAGTCTTCGTCTAAATATGTGCTACCTCATTTTATCCATTTATACAAAAATCAATGACATTTGGGTGTGGTCATAATATACATGGCATGCAGTCGTCATTAGAGTAAGGTGGTATTGTACACGGCATCTGGCATGTGACACCAAATCACGCATCGTGGTGCTCGCCCCTTCGCTGCTTTTCAAGCTTCTTCGCCCCCTTCATGCTTCTCCTGGGGCGGCTTTTCTTGTGTTCCGCCAGCTCGCGTGGCTTGTTGTTCAGCCACCCGTTGATCGGCTTTCTCGAGCCAATGAACTTGCCTTCGGGAGAGTAGATGTCAACAGCCGGCCAGTCTGACGACTCTTGAGGCTGCAGCTGCACCTTGGGCTCCGTGGCTTTGTCGTGGCCGGCTGTATCCCTCCTCATGCTGTACATATCCGAAAACGGGTCGCTGGTGTTACGCGGCGTCTCTCTTGGTCTTGTCTCCTGCTCAACTTCCCTAAATGCGTTTTGAGACGCAAGTATGCGCTCCAGAGCTCGTCTGCGAACTTGAGCGACGATCTCAACGTACCCAACGCCCTCAATGAGGATATCCACAGACAGCACACGGAATGGTAGCTGTTCAACGTTCAACCCAATCGCGCTCTTTCTGGTTAATGGTCCAGCTCTCTTTTTGGTTACATCATGATCGAGTTTGAATGTGCCAGCGTGTTTCATCTTGTCTCCAGCTCCTGGCAAAGTGATGTTTTCAAGGCCAATGGATTGGTGACTTTGACCTTGGAATGTGACGGCCTTTTCCGTTGAGGTCAGATGCTCGTGAAGTGGCGTAAAATTGTACATGAGAAAGATCATGTCTGGTGTTCGAGGAGTGATTCGAATCAATCCTCCACCTAGAATAAGCGAGGACCCCGGCTTGACAGTAACCTGCTCAGGAATGATGCGTTTTTTCATGATGAGCGACTGCCTATGCTCTTCCTTTACATACAGCTCAAGATCACTGCGTGCCAACCCTGGCAGATCGATGAGCTCTCCCTTGCCATTGCCAAAAGGGATGCGGATGGGAGATGCAGTTGTTCCTGGCAGTGACGAAACAATGGGCATGTCTGGATAATTCTGAGCCGGCCGAGGAGGAGGAAGCAGAGATCCAAAGTTGACAGTCGCTAAACTCTCATCATCCTCAGTCGTCGTTGATTTGTCGGTAGACGAGCCTCTTGGTTGCGTCGAACCGCTGGCTCGTTCGGGCTTGTCGATCATTCTGCCCTTTGGATAGATGGCTTCAAAAAGCTGACTCTTCCCCACGTTGACTTTGCCAACCATCCATCCAGCGCCGCCACGATTCCAGACATCCTCCTTGACTGTCTTGGTCCACCATCCTCGTCTCGCGCTGACACACCTGACATTGCCCAGGCGGATTCGCTGACCAAGTCTCCCCAGTGCATCGCGCAATACGTCTTTCAGATAAGGCATCATGGCATCCACCATCTCCTTGGTCGGACCCAAGAGATCACCCCTTGTGATGATGAAGCTCATCTCGGTCTTGCGATCGTTCTGGTACTTGTCCGCTCGGGAGCGTCGATTGCGCGTGCGCAGTGGAACGTCGCCCAGCAGCACATTGAGCCGCGGAATGAGAGACATGGGGAAATCGGCGGCATCGATGACGTGGTAGATGTGGTTATACTTGTGAGGCGACTCCTCAATTGTCTCTCGCAGAGACTCGACGCTTGGATGGTACATGGTGACCTTTGCGGTGTCGCCTTTTGTGCTGTGGTGTAGCAAGTCATGACAACGATCGCAAACGGGTGCCTTTTGGTGCGATGTCACTGTGTGCAAGTTAGCATTATGCCATATTCAAGTTTAAGAGTCAACATGTATCCTACAGCTCATGCTCTGGTTTTCTGTCCCATCGCCATCGACAAGCGTCGCGGGATCCAAACCAAGCTCTTTCAACCTGCTCTGGTCCAAGGCTTCGAGCGTGGCATTGACAATCTTATCCTCATCGCCTTCCAGAGGACTCGAACGCCGTACAACTGGATGCAGCCATTCTCTCACCCTCCTCTTGCTCACATCATAGTATCCAAGCTGCTCCGGGTCCTCAGTCTGCGTGAATGCGCCACACCCAGAACACGTCAATGGCAATCTTCGAACTGGCTTTTGTAACAACTCAGTTGATGGCGACTCCGCGGTCGATTCGATATTGCTGGATACAGCCTCGGTGTGGTTCGCTCGTCGCTGGGAAATGCTCGTTGAAGCTCTTAGACTTATACTCGAGAGCCTGCTTGAGAGTCCTACAACTGCAGGACACAGATAGAGAGGCACTCCCGTTGAAGGCGCAGCTTCGCCGACCCTTAGAGCCTGCCTGAGCAGCCGTGCCGTCAGCGCCCTATGCATCCTCGCCGAAAGAATTGCGTTGAATCACAGTTCATAGAACATGATAGAGAAAAAAAAAGTTGTCTTATAAAAAAAAAGATCCGCCTCTGCTAAGAAAATCGGCGGCAGTTGACATCCCCCACTGTCGCGTGGTTCACCCCACCATTAAAAAATAAAATAAAAGTCCCGGATGATTAGCCGGCCCGCCAAACTCCAGCGGTTCGCAGTACGATTTTCTGAATTAGAACGAACTTTGAATGCGAGATTGAACAACCCGTTGCGATATTTGCTGCGCATCAAACCCTTTCAGCAATTGGACCCTCGCTGTAGTCGAGGCGCAAAGACACAGGCCAAGATGAGGTCATTAGGAGAGCGGCTAAACCTGCTTCGAAAGGTAACGTCTTGAATCTGCCCCCATGGTGTGACAATCGCTAACCAACAACTACCACAGAAAGTAAGAAGATCCAATGCCCATGCACTCTCGTTACGAATCGAACTCGACTCACGAAGCCCTCACACAGCTCATTAACGTCAGATGCGGCCCCGGCGCAGCAATCCTCCCCGCAGAGGTCACCCGGATACACATGGACTTTGGCCTCCGTCTAAAAGGCGGCCACATGGGAGCTAGGTTCGTTCGGTTCCCCCCCTCTCACAATATCCTCAAGAACCATATCTCTAACGACAAAAAAAAAACCGCAGGAAATTCTGGCGAGAATACCTCCCCCGCCTGAAATACCACAACCCCTCCATCCCCATGATCGTCAACCGCCACGACCAGAACCAGCTCCCCCCAACCATGACAATCTACCTCCGCAAGCCCGGCTCCCCAGCCCCAGCGTCAGCGTCTTCCGAACCCATCCCCCAGCCCTCGTCGTCCCGGACGAACCTCTCCAAGGCGCAGCCCCCCACCGCGGACGAGCGCGTCGTCCACATCGACATGGCCAACAAGCATTCATCACACATCCTCGAGTTCTTCATGGCCGAGACCCGCGCCGTTCCGCTGCAGCCTACAAACGAGGAGATTGCCGAGATGCAGGCCCTCGACACACTACGCAAGAACGCAGAGGTCGACCGCGAGCGGGTACGACTACTAAGACTAGAAAAGAAGAAGGAAGAGGATATGTTGAAGCGAGCTAGAGCCGCGGGTGGCATGGCAGAGCAAGAGGAGGCTTAAAAAGGAAAGAAGAAGATGGACATTTGTACGATAAGCGGTTGTTTGAGTATATGGCAATGTATCGTCCAAAAAAAAAGAGAACAAAAACTATGGGCTGAATGCTAAATATGACACATGTTCAATCCCCACAAGTATCGCAGACGCTCAACGACGACTGGCTCACGTATAAACTAATCTAAGGATATTGTGTAATGCTCGACCGCTCTAATCCATGATAATAATGTCCAAATATGCCGAAAAGCCAAGGTGTTGAATGGCAACTGCGATATGAGTGATATTGAGCCGTCGATGGTTGCCAGCCATCTACTTGAGACCGAATCCTTCACTCTCATGAACCGCTCTCCACAACATTGATTCTAGCCTTTCCTTTGAAGCATAACGCCAGAGGGATAACATATTGAAGCACGTTCTAGCAATGGGATACCTCCCACAGTCATCACCCAAACAAGACAGCTTGATCGTCAGCGATGCGGCCCCCATCGCCGGTATGCGGTCACTTCCAGTGACAAACGTAAGCAGCTTGCGCTGGTCACTCGGAGTAGCCTGTTGAAACGTCTCCCAGAACCAGCCAATGACCGGCTCGGTTTCTTCAGGCTGTTTGCTCTCCCAATTATCATACTCCGCCACGGCTCTCAACGACGCGATATCCAATGGCTCATCAGATCCCCTGATAAGGAGTTCAATCTCCTCAGGCCGGAAAAGGGAAAACGCATTGCCGCCGCAGACCGTGTAAAAGCCCCTCTTGAAGGGCTCAAACTGTCTCTTCACTGCAATGTCGAGAACGTGCCGTACGTAAAGATCGACGTATTCTCGCCGGTTCTCATTTGTCACGGGCTTGCTTTCGCCACCGGGCAAGAGAGGCACCTGCACCTTGGAGCCGTATCTATCAGTTTCAATGACAAAATCCAAGCAAAACGTTTCTTCGACATCTCCATCAAAAGCCAAAAGCTGTTTTAATCCGTTCGCAAGCCGTGGACGGTACTCAGCCAAATCGTCTAGCGTATATCTCATCGGTGGTCGATGCTGTATAATTGATCCGGGGGGAGAAGGAGCTGAAGCAATGAGTTTTCGGAAAGCAAAAGGAGGCAGGGCAACATCCAAGATGGTGGAATTGTAGATAGCCAAGCCCATGACAACGCCAACCAAAAAGAACTGATCAGCGGGCTCGAACGAGTTTGAGTTGAAGTAGCAATACTGCGAGTCGTCGTCATAGATGAACATTCCTATATTTGCATTAGATTGACGAGCTCAGGAATCTACATGCATGAGCATCAACGTACCATAGTCGGGATTGAAAACCTCCCGGATGAGGAGTAAGAACCATTCTTTACGGAGACCACCCGCGTCTATTCCCTCCTCTCCCTGGAACGAAATGCGGAGACCTTTCTTCAAATCTTCACCACCACTGCCAATGACGCTACTCACGGCTGTCAAACTGTCGTCGACAAGGCAGTCTCGACGTACATCAAGGACCAGATATTGATTAATGTTCCTTCGAGTCATGATGCTATCGAAAAAGGCGTCTCGAGCTTTGCTTTGCATCTGTCGACGGGCATCGTGCTCTAGGATGTGCGTTTTTGCCCATACGCTCAAGAGAAACGGGTATTGGCAGAAGGAGAATTTACTCCTCTTGGATTCCCAAGACTCAAAATCGTCAATGAGATCGGCGTAGTCTATCATGGAATTATAGAAATCAGTGGGCGGAAGAAAGTATCCGCCAACACGAGTTGCTCCGTTCCAGGTAACCTGACTGTTTGGATGAGCATCCTCGCCGCGACGATTCGGCGACATGTTGTTTGCGGAAAATAAGAGAGATAGCACGCGAGAAGCAGCTTTGATCTGCCAGTCATCTGAGTAGGAGATCTTCTTGGTTGGTTCCTTGGGCTTCTTTGTAGGTCTAGGCCCACCTATCGCATCATGAAGAGACGCACCGCCGTGTCGACCAGTCTGCATCTGTGGTATCAACCCAGCTGTCGGATCTACTGTTTGCTCAGTCTGCTTCTTTTCGCTTTGTCGAATCATCCGATATGTCAAAAACCCCGATGCCAGCTCTTTCACTTTGATGAAGCGTGCGGCATGGTATCTAGCCAGCCAAGTTATCATTTGGTTTTGGCACTCTGGCGATGCATTCGAGATTAATCCCAGTATTCGTTTAACGATCCCAGAGTGCTGCCCCGATAGGAGACCTGTATTTCCAGCAGGGCGATTCACATCCGTTGGCCTCGAGCGTATAGGCTGGGCCATCTCTGGCTGGAGTAGCCCTTGAAAGCTCTCATTATCCGAGTGAAGAGACGGATTCTCCATGATGATCAGAAGGAATCGAAGATCCATCGGGTCCTTGATGGGGCGGCCGGGTCTTTTCAGCAAGTTTTCCGTGACTTTCAACAGCAGCCGCCGAGTGTGATCCTGCCCCTTGAGCACATCCTGTTCGATAGCACGAAGTTCCTGCTCAGCAAGATGGCCTAGAGAAAGATCCGCCGAGACCTCTTCGTAGACTTGGAACCAGCCTTCTGCTGCATTATTCACGACTGAGTACCATTCATCAATATCGGCCCAATTCAACTGCGGTGATCTTGTCAGTGGAGATGGCCGGTGATGAACATGGACCGGCTCCTCCTTGTTGGGAGTCTTCTTCGGCGCCATTGTGTCTTGGCCGGTCCACCACAGTCCATTCTCCGCAACATCGCCCAGCAGTAGCAATTTCGGGTCCAAATCAACTATGGGGGAGTCAACCTCCAGCTGAGATGGCCTACGAGGCGCACTTTTTATCTGTGCGGGCTGCCGCACGTCCCTCGAGGGGACCGAGGGACGTCGAGGGGTATCACTTGCGGATCTCGAGGCATATCGGGGATGCTGCGTGGAAAAGGAAGAGTTGATACATTCAAAGTTATTGAAACAATTTGTAATGTAGTCTTCTAATTGCTTGAATATCTTTCTAGGGTCATCAGGCGGGCCAGCAGACCGATCTCGTGGGCGCGGGCTGACATGATTATTGTTGCTGTTAGGCGGCGGGCCCCTCAACCCGGGTTGCTCATTGGAAGATGAAGGATACGACCTGGACATGGCGATTGGAGAATTGGCGCTTGCGGTATTGAGATGCAGCGTTGGCTCCTCGTCAAAGGTATACTTGGTGACGGATCCCTTTCTCGCTGGGGTGATATCAAGTGGTCCATGAGTCCGTATCGCAAGATCTGGATATAGTCGATCTTGCCGCAGCGGCCAGTCGTCGCCAGTGTGCTCAACCTGAGCCTCAGATGACAAGTCGCGAAGCCTCCTGAGAACATATGATCGCAGATTCTGCCGGACCAGATATTTTGTTTGATCGAGAGAGATGGGCAGATTGAGCTGGCCAAAAGGACTCGTCCTGGGACCTTGTCCCGGCGCCATACCAGGGGAAGGCGGCGGTTGCTTTGATGACGAAGGCCCTGGGCTTGTGTCATGGCGCTGCTGCTTGGAGCCTTGGCCTTCAACACTAATTGGAACCAAGTCATTGATGGTCATGCAAATGGTACACTTGAAGACCTTTAACTCCTTGGGCCACTTTACGAGCGAAGCACATGTCATGCAATTGCCGGTAGCAAAGTCCTTGCTCATGGAGGGGTTCCCCCGTTTGTGCGTCTGTACCGGCCTGTTGCTCGGAGCTGGGCCACCGTTTGGTCTATCCACGTCGACGGAGGGCTTTGAAGCCGAGCCCTGCCTCCTACGGCCGTTGAAGAGCGACGGAAACGGATTGCTCATGGAGCGGGAGTGGTTCGGCTGGCGGCCGCGATTCTGCTGCGAAGACGGTTCGGCGTTGGCGTCGCCCTCAGAGTCGGAAGAGCTGAGGTTGGGATTCACACGCGCGTGGGTCGTCCTGGATTTGGCAAGTCGTCGTGTGAGCGAGACGGGCGTATCAAGAGCATCTGAATGCAGTCGGCTGATGAGGTCGGTCTCGTCTCGCGGCGTAAACTCAGACCCGCGTCGGGCAGTGGGAGTGGGATATGGAGGGGCCATCTCTGCGGTTGCCGAGGCGGCTATGATACGATGCTCCTACTTGTGGCGGTTGCGAGCGACGATGGCAGCAGCATCTGTGTCTGGAGAAGGCAGAAGGCGTCGACGGCTGAAAGAACGGACATATGATCTACTGCCACTCCGGAGTCGCAGCCAGGTACAAGTAGCGCTCCAGGCATAAACGAGCACAAAGCATACGAGGCACAAAGGCGCAGGCACAGGCAGGCCGCCGGCGCACAGGGATGGCCGATGAAGAGGACCAGGGGCCCCAGGGAGGCTCTGCCCCCTTTGGTTTGATGAAGCGAGGTATGGAGACGTCACTGGCTACAACACTCGTATGTAGATGCTGGATACCTGGTGGGCTCTGTCGGGAGGGAATCGCGAGGACGAGCAATCGTACGGACCGGTGGCAGTGGGCAGTTGGTCGATCGGCAGGGGCTTGGAAGTCTATATTTTCAGTTGGACGAGGTTGTATCGAAACGCTGGGCTTTGGATGGATGGCTTCGGCGCACGTGCAGGGGAGAATCGGTAATTGGCAGTGTTCGTCACCAGTGGGAATCCCAGTCGCAGATACGGGGAAATTGGACAAGGAAAGGGAAAAAGACGAGACAACGTCAAAGGCCGGCGGAGGAATTGCTTTGCTCGTCATGGGGCTGCTCCCACGAGTTTGTTCCCCTCCAGCGTGCATCAGATGCCGGCAGAACCCCTGACGCCACAGCCCGGCCGCTTGGGAGGCGTTGGCTCTAGCGCCTGCAGTCTTACCTAAATCATTATACCTACACATCCATTCATGGATGTTATAGAGAATATTCTTTGGAATCATTCAATGATGATACAATAATCATGAGAGAATATCAGGTTATGCATGGCTTTTTCTTTTATAAGTTTAATATTTTTAATTTTCTATATAAGACTAGCAAGCACCATTAATTATTCTTTTCTACTAGCTACAAACTGCACAACCGCAACAGCCAGGCCTTTTTTTGGTTTGGTAAGATGCAAATTACTCTACAAGGGACACTTGATTCAGCCATCCCTATTTGTAACCCATCCCAGACGCCATCCTCCGCTCAAACATATAGAAAGTTCCCTTGTTCAGATCTCTTCCGCTTACAGAAGGAGTTCCAGGGGGTTCTCGAGAACCTTCTTGAGCTCACGCATCCAATCGGCACCAGTGGCACCGTCAACGACCTTGTGGTCGAAGCTGCCAGTAACGGTGATCTGGTCATCCCACTCGACAACGGTCTCACCGTCCTCGTCCTTGGCGGGCACGGCAACCTTTCGGGTGGTGCCAACAGCCAGGATAGCGGCCTGAGGAGGGTTGATGACGGCAGTGAAGTGCTCGACAGCATCGTTCATGCCCATGTTGGAGATGGAGATGGTGCCGCCCTGGTACTCCTCGGGCTTGAGCTTACCATCGCGCGCCTTCTTGGCGAGCTCCTTGACCTTGGCGGAGATGGACTCCAGGCCACGGGCCTCGACACCGGTAACAATGGGGGTGATGAGGCCAGTGGGGGTGGAGACGGCGACAGAGACGTCGACGGTGGAGAATTGACGAATAACGTCACCGCGCCAGCTGGCATTGGCGGCGGGGACCTTCTTGGAAGCGATACCAATGGCCTTGATGAGGAAGTCGTTGACGGACAGCTTGTACTTGCCCTCGCCGGAGGCGTTCAGGGCCTGTCGCAGCTTCAGCAGCTTGGACACGGAGATGGAGCTGCTGACGTAGAAGTGAGGGTTGGTCTGGGTGGACTCGAGCAGTCGGTTGGCAATGGTCTTTCGCATGCCGCTGATGGGAGTGTCCTCAAAGGTGGCGCCGGGAGCGGCAACGGCGGGGCTGGCGACGAGCTTCTTGACGTCCTCCTCGGTGATCTTGCCTCCCTTGCCAGAGCCCTTGACGCCGTCCAGGCTGATACCCGAAGAACGGGCAAGTCGGACGGCAGCGGGGACAGCATTGGGTTCACGGTCGAGAGAGGTCTGGAGTCTGCCCTCGGAAGCGTACTGCTCAGGAGCAGAGGTGGACTGAGGGGTAGAGGCGGGGGTTGATTGGGGAGCAGGCTCAGAGTCCTTCTTGGCCTCGGGGGCAGGGGCGCTGCCGCCGGCATCTTCCAGAGAGAACTTTTCGAAAGCGGCGATGTCGGTGCCCTCCTCAACCAGGACAGCGATGGGCTATGGAGCGAATATGCTTAGCATCGGAAAGAGACGGAACGAAACAAAAAGAGGCAGAAAACGACTTACGGTGCCGACAGCGACGTCCTTCTCGCCAGCCTCCTTGAGGATCTTGGCAATAACACCCTCCTCCTGGAATTCAAAGTCCATCTGGGCCTTGTCCGTCTCGAGCTCAACCAAAACCTCACCGGGGGCGATGGTATCGCCGGGCTTCTTCTGCCAGGCACCAATGTTGCCAGCCTGCATTGTGGGCGACAATGCGGGCATCTTGATCACCTGGTGGCTGGGGAAGGACGCATAGTAGCGGACTACGTGCGCGGTGAAGCCAGTTCGCAGGGCTTGGTGAGTAGGCGCGAGGATACGCCTCCGAAGAGCGGCGCTGAGCATCTTGGAAAAATGTCTCTCACCTGTGAGAGAGACGCCGGGGCAGGCGGGCAAGTGGGCGGGCGGCGGGGAAAAGGGCGGGCGACGTGAGGCACGAGGAGATGCTCACGGGATGATCGCAATTGACGCTGTATCCAAGGGTGAAGGAGGGACAAGCGAGGGCCCGAGGGTTGTTGATAGCAATATGGTCGAGGTGACGGACAAGTCGTTCAAAATCCCTTGGGGCTAGATTTTTGCGTTGAGCTCTTGCGCCTGGGAAGCTTTGGGACCTAGCCCTGATTGGGGCTAGCGCCATTGGCCATTTCAACGCTTCTGCGCCATAAAAAAGGGCCCTATTTTGCGTCCATATCAGTGGGATTGGATATCTCTGCTGTGGTACCTGTTGATTAGTGCTCCATACAGGTAATGTTAGGTACAGTAATATGGAAATGGTAAGCGGGAGGATGACCATGCATGTTCCACCAAGGGCGCCATTTTCTGGGCTCGGCGAGGTGAGTTTGCGGATTCCAGACTGCTATATCCAATGGGTAAAGAGGTGAGGCTGGTGAAGAGGCGATTGCTTCCCGTCCCCTCTGTTTCAATTGTATCAATGGAGCCCCTCGATTGAGCAAATTGACGCCAATTGAAACTTTGCCGGTCAGTTGACTTTTGCGCGCAACAAGCGAGTACCTCTCTGTACTCAATAACGAAACGCGGAAAAAATACGCCGGAACTTCATCACCAGGAGCGTGGCCCTCGACACCAAGAAAACCATCGGGATGAATGCTAAAATCCTCGTCTACCATCATCACTCAATCTTGAGGTTTATCTTGCTTAATATCATCATCATCACTCTGCGTTTCCAACAGATTGGTCTACAACGAGAAAAGTATCGCCAGGCTGTTGATGAGATCACCAGCTGTTAACTTTAAGCCGGGGAAAATGTCGTATTCAACGTACTTGCATATACCAGTAGATAGGTATCTGCCAATCAACCAGTTGCAGGAGGGACTCAACAATCCTTTTGGTTCATAATCTACTATGCGTGAGCCATGGACGACTCCCGGATCAGAATGACTACTACCTGTTACCTAGGAACCGCATTCTAGACAAAAGTCGTAAAGCACGATGGTGACATCTGCCTAGAAAAGTAACCAACAAATGAAAGTATCACAATAGAAGATGGAAAGAGTGCAGATTCGGGGATCAGAAGGTAAAGTTTGAAGCTCTTGTGCCTGTGCACCTACCTCTTGATAGAGTCGATGCACTCTGCCTCTCAACTTGAAGCTCCTCCTTCTCCATCTTCCACTTTGTTCTCCTCCCCTTTCCTCTCTTTTCTATATGCACATTTTCCAAACCATCCATTTCGTCGTCTTCCGTCTGGGCTTGTTCCGATTATCAGTCTCGAGTTTCGCCCATTCTCTCCTATCGTTGTAACAAAATGTGGGAAACCGTCAAACATAAGAAGCAGAGGAAACAGGAGAGAGACAAACGAGAGAAGGAGGAGAGGGAGAGGGAGGAGAGAGAGAGAGAGAAGATCGAGTGGGAGAGGCAAGAGAAACTGAGGCAGGACAAGGAGAAGCAGGAAAAAGAGAAGCAGGACAGGGAGAAGCACGAGAAGCAAGTCAAGGCTGCCTTTTATTCGCTATCGCAACAGCTTCAGGATCTCAAGCAAAAGTGCCAAACACTCGAACAAAACATCCAGACGGTTAGGGGAAAGAACGAGAGCTTCACCGAGGCGATGAGCGCAGTACGAGAGCAGTGTGCGATATTCAACGAAGAGGTGCAGACGTTGATTGCAGAGCGATCGGTTAGAAAGGCGCATGAGAAGACACAAGAATTGCCCGATCAGGTGCGAGAAGATGAGAAATTCCCTGAGGAGGAGACGCAGGCAGCGAGTGAGGAGGTATAAACAAGCAAGTGAGAAGAGTCGATGCACTTTTGTTGATATGGGGAGACCGTCTCGCACAACAAATATTCATTGTCGTGAGTCCCCCAGTCATTTTGCAGGCTACATATTGAAGAAACTAACAAGATCTAGGATAGGATAATTTCGCCATAGAGTTTTCCTTGCCGCTGTGTTTCATCTTAATCCAACCACCCGCAGCATCCATATTCTAAGACTTCTCACGTCGATGTCGTTTGTGCAGACCATGAACGGTGAGCGCAATGTCTCCTTCATCTGGCATTGAAGGTACTGACCATCAATACCAATCTCGAAGCTGTGCGAAGTCTTGTGCATTCTTTTGCATTTTACTTAACGAGGCCTGGATAGAAATGTAATAGTAATAGCAGCCCCCTTTAACAGCTCTCCTTTGTGATGTTCGGCCCCCTCGTGTACTCGATGTCTCTCAGCGCTCTACTGTAGGTTTCTTAAGTTGCCTCCAATATCCATCTCAAATTTGTTTTGACATCTACCAAAATTCCCCATGACTCTCTGCTACCGTAGCAATCCCGGCAAGATGTCAACCAAGCAGTCCTGCATACTCATCCGCAGCAACATTGGTGATATGGACAAGAATATCAACCAATGATACGGGCGATAAATCCACTTAGCCGCCATTGTCAGCATATGACATATGCACTCAGCCAGCACCATTTCCGTGTTGGGCCTTTTTCGGCACCTTGCCGTGCAAATGAATGTCGATGCCCGGTTATAAGAAAAAAACCAGCCCAGAGCTCGACCTTGATTCACACGACCAACAAACATTTGACAAGTCAAAAAGCGACCTGGTCACTTTAAGCCGGACATGCATAACGTAATCCGAATCCCGCATCGCTTGCTTGCACGACCCAAGCGAGCTTGACAAACAGCCAAAAAAAATAATTAAAAAAAATTGAAGCGAATGAAACAATAAAGAGGTATAAAAATCGAGTCAGGTGCCATGGCCGCGAATGCATATGGTAGCCAGGAATCAGCGTCGGAGCTGCCACCGCTGGAAGAGCTGTTTCGCCAAGTATCCGGCAGCAAAGGCGAGTCGACAATCAGAAGACAAGGGGGTGATGGTTACAATGAGAAAAACGCCAGAGATGAGGGAAACACCAGGGAGAGCAGCACCGACAAGGACAGCGTCAATAAGAACAGCAGCAACCGGAGCGATAGCATCAGCGTCAGCATCGACGACGACGACGACGACACAAGCACGGAAATGGCCAGCCATGGCAAAGACGACAACAGCCTCGATCTCGACTTCATCCCGCCTCTAACAAACACCTCCGCCGCCATCTTCGTCCCCATCACAGAGTCCACCAACCTTCTCGCCGCTCCCCAGTTCGTCCCCGGCTCAGTCGAATACCACCGCGCCGCCCTCGCCGTCGTCACCAGCCATGAGGCCTCGGTCCGCAACAACATCCAGGCCTACTACCAGCGCGAGATGCGCCGCATCAACCGCGAGGCCGAAGCCCGCGACCCGTCGTTTGACTACTTCTCCGCCGTGGCAGAGGTGCGGAAGCAGCACGAGCCCGCGCTGAGGGACGACCTGGACAGCATCATTGCGAAAATGCGCGAGCGCGACAATCCCGCCGCCGACTACAGCGTCAAGACCGTTCCGATGCCTGACATGGACAGGGTGCCCGTGACGTACGTGCCGCTCAACTCGCCCCGGGAAATCGCCGCTCGGGACGTCATGAAGGTCATTGTGGCTGCCACGCAGGAGATTTCTTCCTTTGACCACCACGTCCGCGGCATGAGTGACGCCATCAGGGTGCAGATGCAGGCCGCGGCCTTGCGACAGAAGCAGCAGGGCCGGATGGACGTCGACTAGAAGCCGCTGCGTCGATCTAGCCTTCGTTCTCCTTCTGCAAAGAGACCCAAGAAGAAAGTCCGCTTCGGGGATCCCATTGTACAGCCGGAGCCAGGCGAGACCGGCTTCACTGAAAGACGATATTGAGGCCAGAAGGAAAAGGGGGATGGGCAACGTTACGTTTCGCATGCCTACTTGGAGAGAGTGACAGATGTTGTCACACCTCGTGTGGATGCTTTTGGGGTTACACCACATAACTTACGCAAACGTGTTTACTCGTACTTTCATCTTCACCCCTCATACTCGGCACCAACACAAGGACGGGATAAAAGGGGGGGAAGGGATAAGAGATAAAGCCAACTTTTTTTGGTCAACGTATTTACCACACACTTCTAGCCTCCCCCAACGTCCTATATATGTACATATCGACATACCGCTCCGGAACTGCAAGGGAAAATTCTTCTATTTTAATACATTCACCTATCTTAAGCACCGTACGCAACCTGGCCCATGGGCCTGTCCTCCTCAACACCAGGAGCCATGAAATTCGTCCTTGGGTCGCCAGTGGTCTTGGCCGCTGAGCAGCGTGCCATTGTCGGTGAGCTGGGAAGAAGGTTAGCATCAGTTTGTTATCATACGGAACATAGCCTATAGCACATGATATGTGGTAATGTATACTAAGGGGGGAGAGTGCACATACCTTCTGGAGATGACATCTGTAAAGTAAAAGTTCTCGATAACCTTCTTAAGAGGCTGGTTGCTGGCCTTGGCACCCTTGTTCTGCTCGACAAGCTGAACCTTGCTCAGCTCCTTCAGAGCAACGGGCTCAACCACGTCGTAGGCAGCCAGGGCGGGGCTGATCTCGATCATGCGGTCCCGCACAGCGGCGACATCATCGTAGGGAAGAGGCGCGCCGAGGAACTCAGAAGCAGCTCGGAGAATCTTCCAGTCAGTGCGGGCAGCGCCGGGCAGCGAGGTGGCCGCACGGGTCATCTGCACACGTCCCTCGGTGTTGATGTAAGTGCCAGCCTTCTCGGTGTAGGCGGCGCCAGGAAGGACAATGTCGGCAATCTGGGCGCCGCGGTCACCGTGGTGGCCCTGGTAGACGACAAAGGCGTCCTTGGGGATGTCGGCCGCGTTGACCTCGTCGGCGCCGAGGAGCCAGACAAACTTGGGCTTGGTCTGGGCGACCTCCGCGGACGGGGTGACGAAGCCAACCTCAAAGGCACCGGCCCTTGAGGCTTCCCTCTGGAGCACGTTGTAGCCGTCCCACTCAGCGGTTCTGAAGTTGGCGGCGTTCTGGTTCACAAAGGTGCCGACGGTCTCGTAGAAGGCCTTGGCGTCGACGTGGTCGGTGACACCGGATCCAACGATGATCATGGGCTTCTTGGCGGCCTGGAGCTTCTTGCCAAAGGGACCGGCCAGGGCCTTCTTCAAGGCAGCGTGGTCGGCTCCCAGGTGCTCAAACTCGAAAGTGGACTCCCAGGTCTCGCCAACAACACCAATCTCGAGGTCGGAGCGCAGCCACTGCTTGCGGATGCGAGCGTTCAAAACGGCGGCCTCGTGTCGGGGGTTGCTTCCGACGATGAGAATGCAGTCAGACTCCTCAATACCCCAGATCTTGGAGTTGAAAAGGTAGTTTGATCGCACGTCAACGCCGTGGGCAAGGGGCTGGCTGCCAGTAGGGGTGTCGAGAGCAAGGTTCTCAGATCCCAGCTTGTTGGCCATGTCCTTGGCGACGACGAGAGACTCTACTTCAGTCAGTGCACCGGCAATGACCTTGAACTCGTTGCCCTGGGGGTTTGTCTGCTGGTAGGCCTTGGCAATCACGGTCAAAGCCTCTTCCCAGTCAGCGGTCTCAAACTTTCCTTCTCTTCGGACCAACGGAACAGTAAGTCGCTGGGTCTTGAGGCCGTCGCAGGCGAAACGAGTCTTGTCGTTGATCCACTCTTCGTTGACGTCGTCGTTGAGTCGGGGAAGAACACGCATGACTTCCAGGCCACGAGAGTCGACACGAATGTTGGAACCCAGGCCGTCGAGAACGTCAATTGACTCGGTGTGCTTCAGCTCCCAGGGGCGAGCTCGGAAAGCATAGGGCTTGGAGGTCAGGGCGCCAACGGGGCAGAGGTCGATGATGTTTCCAGACATTTCCGAGTCCAGGTTCTTCTCCAGGTAGGTGCCGATCTGCAGGTCGTTTCCACGGCCAGTCGAGCCCATCTCAGGGGCACCAGCGATGTCGTTGGCAAATCGGACACATCGGGTGCAGTGGATGCATCGGTTCATGGATGTCTTAATCAGGGGTCCAATGTTCTTGTCCTCGACAGCTCGCTTGCCTCCAATCTCGTGGAATCGCCCTCGGTCGGCACCATATCGCATAGACTGATCCTGGAGATCACACTCGCCTCCCTGGTCGCAGATGGGGCAGTCGAGGGGGTGGTTGGCCAGCAGGAATTCCATAACACCCTCGCGGGCCTTGTGTGTAAGAGGCGAATTGGTCTTGACGACCATTCCGGGCTGCACGGGCCAGGCGCACGAGGCCACAGGCTTGGGTGCCTTTTCGACCTCAACCAAGCACATACGGCAGTTACCGGCAATCATGAGTTTTCTGTCAATGGTGTGGTTAGGATTCGGAATCGTTGGGAGAGGGGCGAGGAGGGGTTAAAGCTTTCGTACTCGTGGTAGCAGTATCTGAACCATGTTAGCATGCACATTTCTTGCAACTTTTACATGTTTTTTTCTTCTCTTATTCAACAACTGACCTGGGAACAGTAGCTCCGGCCTTTTCGCAAGCCTGGATCAGAGCAGACCCGGCTAACAATCCATGTCAGCACATATGCCCTCATTCTTGTCCCGCAACACAGCAACCCCTCCACCGCAGAGCCATACCTTCGATCGAGACCTTCTTTCCATCTGCACCGCCGTTAGCAACTCGCCCCAGCTCCAATTGCCCGCCGCGAAAAAGAATCATAATGCTTACCAATGGTGAGCTCCACCTCGGCTGCTCGTCTGGGCGTTGTCGCGAAAGCCCGCGAGGCGGCGGCGGCCCGCCTGCCGGTCCGCCAAGCCGAACGTGCCAGAGACTGTCGGAGCATCGTGTCGCCTTGACGGATTGAACGTGATGGACGTTGCGGCGAGTGTAAAAAGGGCTCAGTTCGAGTGGGATGGGCGTCGTCGAAACGGATCTGCTGTCTGGATGGTTGGAAAGCCCATTTCCAGCGCTAGTGGGTTTCCCTTACGGATCCATTTAGCAGCACGCTCATTGGCTGCAGCTGCCCGTTGCCGCTGCCTGAGGCATCGCCGTCCCGCATTGCCAGAGACCTTTAATTTGCTGCTGGCCGAACTTTTTTTTTCTTCTTCTTTTCTTCTTCTGCTTCATTAATTGTACACGGGCACATTTTATTGTAGGTGAGCTTGGGCATCGCAATCTGCGTTGCTTCTGTCGAGTCCTCCTCTATCTTGTGCTCTAGAGAAAATATACGCCGATTATGGAAGCATGGGAGAGAATTTTCATCTCGATGAACGCTGCCTCTTACCGCCGGTCGTAACATTTCATCCAGTAAAAGATGCCGTAGAATTGACAGCCGTGGCTGCTTCGTAATGTTGATGTCAAAGATCAAGTCTTGAGAGCGCAATTGGATCGAATTTAGCTTGCCATCTATGAACTGCAGCTACATTGCATCGCTCGCTCAAACCTAGGCACATCGCCAACCCATCTCTGTTCCTCCTCTAGGTCGCCCTTGTACTCGACCCCGTCAATTGCAACTCCGTCCCACGAGTCCTCAAACGGGTGTAGAGCCATGTGCATGATGCGATTCAAGACGTGTCTCTCGCCCTCTTTCTCGACACGCCGTATCACCTCGTCCAAGATCCAGCCTCTGGGGACAAAGTTTGGGTTGACCTGCTTCATGGCCTGTCTTCTTTCCGCATCTTGATCTTCAGACAGGGCATCAGCAGATTCACTTCCCCAGTCTTCCAAGGCACGCAACCGCCATTTGTCAAGCCACTTGGCGATTCTCTCCTTTGCATCGTCTTCGCTCACTGCCTGGGGCGGCCCTTCTTTGTGAAAGAAGATGGCCGCCTTTTCTTTTCTACCTGCTGGATCAGCGATATCCGCCAATTGAATGGTGCCCAAGCGACGGAAGAAGTGGTTGAAATCCAATTCTAAAGCTTCCATAGTATCAAGCCCTTCGCTGAAGAGCTCTTCGAAATCCGTCTCTTTGAAGTTGCGCAGGCCAATTCTCGCCGTCATAAGTCGCTTGTACTCATTCAGGAAGACAGTCTTGTATTCCTCTCCGGCTTGAGTGATTAGATTCTCTGCCCTCTCAACTAATTCTTTCTCCTGTTCTTCTTTGATGCCTTTGTTGACAAAAGCTTCGTCATCGACTTGAGCTCCAATGCCCACAAGCTCACCGAGAGCTTCGCCGAGCCTCACGAGATTCCACCATATAATAGTGGGTTGGTTCTTGTAGTTATACCGCAGCATGTGGTCATCATGATTTGGAGTATATGACGGATCGAAGTTGTCCATAAAAGCAAAGGGCCCATAGTCCATCGACAGGCCGTATACTGATGTGTTATCAGTGTTCTGCCGCACATGTTAGTGGCCGACTTTCCCATAAGATATTTCGCAAAGCGATACATACCAAAACACCGTTCATGAATCCATATGCCTGCCAGTGAGCTACAGTCACGGCATTTCGCCTCACAATCTCTCGATACAGCCGTTGGAATCTATTTTCGGCTGCATTGCTGGGTCCTTGAATCTCAGAAGCCGGTATTCCGCGCTTAGGGGGTGGTGATTTCTTAGGATCCTCAGGTGACTCTAGTCGTCCAGGAAGCGTTTCCCATCCGCCAAAGACATCTTCCGCAATATATGTCGCAAGCTTCCTTATGAGAGCGCGATCTCCTCTTGCTCGCATTATGTCAAAAGTGCCCAACCGCAGCCATGATTGGGCGAATCGGAGCACTATAGCTCCAGGCTCGGTTGTCTCTCTCGCAACTTTGGAATGAGGGAGCAAAGTAAGAGACAGTGCTCTGGTTGTGGGTATCTTGAGTGCATTGAGTGCTTCGGAGACAACAAATTCTCGAAGACTGGATCTAAGCACGGCTTTTCCATCTGCAAATCGAGAGTATGGGGTTAGGCCGGCTCCCTTGAGCTGTAGCTCATATCGCACATTAGACGCCGGGTTCGTCGTCTCGAACAGCGAAATGGCCCTTCCGTCTCCGAGCTGTCCTGCCCACTGGCCAAACTGAAAGCCGCCGTAGCATTGCGCCCAAGGGTATCCGCCTTCCAGCTTTGTCTCATCCCATCCGTACAACTTGTTGCCGGCTACTAGCTGCCGAAAGTCTTCGGTTTTCTCCTCGCCCTCCTTGATTCCAATGTCCCGCAATGCAGCTGGGCTCACAGCCAGCAGTTCGGGGTCTTCCTGTTGGCTCGGCCGTACCCAAGTAAACAGAGCATCGCGCACTTGCCGGGGTAAGATTTTGTCTCGGGGAGTCTTATGCGAGTCTGCCGGAGTTGGAAAGGCTTGATCCGGAGGCAATGAGGCCGTAAAGTTCCATGATTTGGGCAAATCGTCCAGCGAAACGCCCTCGAACGGCTTTCCTGAAGAGGTCATGGTTCGCGCGCTTCCGCTATGCCGGGTGAAGTATCGAGCTGATGAAGTGCCGAGGATCCTCAGCGACAGGTTCCCTCTTATGAAACGGCTCGCATGGAGTTGTCTTTGCAGCATGAGCGACGATTGAGCGTTCCGTGACTTGGCCGGCTTAAGGCGATTACAATCGGATAATGCGCGGAAACAGTTGCGAGATGCTCCGTGACATCACCGAACTGGCTGCATTTCGCCCCACCATCCCATGACAGCGGAATAATGATGCCGCGGATCGGACCTCCGACTTAACCGCTGCGGGAGGCAAAAGGCCCCCGTTTAAGATGATGCAAGCGTCAACAGCAATTACTTCATCATGAAGAAGGAATTTCCAGCTGATTCTTCAGGCAGAGTGTAGTTCCAATAGGAGCAAGAAAAACGGCTGGATTATCAAGTCCAGAACTGGAGGTAAAAGCTGACTCGGCGATAATCAACAGCACGTAGATTCAGCTTCGTCCTCGTCCCGGCTAATATCCCGATAGCATCAAGCTAATGATATGGCGTGACGCACTTCAGCGTCCACCTCATCGTATCAATCCATGATGTCTATCTTATTAATGCGTAGAATAGTACAGTAGCACGACTATGGTTTGAGGTATGTACTGTAACCTTGACGTGACTCCCAACAAAACAAAACACCATCTCGCGCCTCACAAGATGAGACGCAGCCCGCTAAAGCAATAGTTCACATAACCTGTAGCTGCATCATAACGGAAATAGGCGACACGCAAATCACGCCGCCGCCCGACTTTCCTCGTACAGCCTCAACTAGCACCATCATCGAAACTACCTACCTATCACTCAGTAACTCATTCCTTATTCCCATCAAGTAGCCGCAAACCGCATTTATCATCAGTGGGGTAGTTGCACGCCATGCGCCAAAGCGTCTTGAGCCTTGCACCTCCACTTATAAGTAGGGCCAGCTCCTCGTCCTCATGGTCAGGCATCAAGTCCCGCCCGATTCTCTCTCTCTGTTCATTCAAGCCTCGACAACAAACTGCGTGCCTCGGTCATAGGCTCTTCAACTCTACAGCCACCAAGATGTCGTTCCCACCGCCCCTCAAGCTCAACGACGGTAATGAGATTCCACAGGTATGACCTATGACCCCTCCCCCACTAGTATTGGTTCTTGAGCTTCGTTCGGGGTCAAGTTGAGCCGACACTGACCGGGTTTCCAGCTCGGATACGGTCTTGGAACTGCCCGATTCAAGCGCAATGGAGGACCTCTAGATGCCGACCTCATTGAGCTCACCAGAAAAGCCATTGAAATCGGCTACCTCCACCTTGATGGTGCCGAAGGTATGCCGAAGAAGTGAATGTAATGAGAGTCAGCACACCGTTTCTAACCACAGCCTTTACCTTTTAGTCTATGGAAACGAGGAGGAGCTCGGCGCTGCCATCAAGGCCTCAGGCGTTCCCCGAGAGAAGCTTTTCGTCACAACCAAGATCAGTGCCCTCGAGAAGAAGGACACCGAAAAAGCCTTCGCCCTCTCACTGAAGAAGCTTGGCCTGGACTACGTCGATCTGTATCTGATCCACGGCCCTTACTTTGCCGATACCGACGAGGATTTGCAGGAGAAATGGGCTGACCTGGAAGCCATCCAGGCTTCCGGCCGGGCAAAGTCGATTGGCGTCTCCAACTTCCTCCAGGAGCATCTAGAGGCCATCCTCAAGACGGCCAAGGTGGTGCCCGCGATCAACCAGATCGAGTACCACCCTTACCTCCAGCACGGCGATCTCGTTGCGTTCCATAAGAAGCACAACATTGCCGTTGCCGCATACGGCCCCTTGGTGCCCATCACCACTGTCAAGGGCGGCCCAGCCGTGCCCGTCTACAACAAGCTGGCGGAGAAGTACGGCGTTACTGACTCTGATGTCGGTCTCCGATGGGTTCTCGATCAGGGAATTGTCACACTTACAACCAGCTCCAAGGAGTCGAGGTTGACCGGATATCTCGAGAGGTTGCCCAAGTTTAAGCTGACGGATGAGGAGGTGGCGGAGATTTCGACGGAGGGAAACAAGAAACACTACCGGGCATTTTGGAAAAACAAGTTTGCCGAGGACGACAGAAGGTAGACGATGGCGACCATGTCAAATAACTACTATTCCTTTTAGACACAGTAATAAGGCTATAGATTGGTAGACATAAACACTGGCCGTCTCTTGTACGCTGCCAGAATGTGTTGGCGGGACTACTATGTCATGCATAGGTATACCAAGAAAAAAATAGATTGCTCAAATGTCAAACCTATATGCTAGAGGAAATACGTATCATTCTTTGAACCAAAATAACCCAAACGCTGCTCCCAGATCAAGTACCATAAATGAAAGTAAAAGAAACAGAAAATGTAAAGTCTATATCCGGACCCTAGCTCCAATACCTCGCCCTTCGTAATGAACGGTCTCTATCCAATTCCCTATCCTTAATGTTGCCTCTGCCTTGGCATCCAGCTTCAATGAGCCGTCCATTGCGTCAATCAGTTTGTCATAGCCGATGCTATCGGCCGACCAGGTGACGGGGAGTCGCGGAGTCTCCGTCACCCCTGGAGGCGCGTCGAACGGCTCATCGTAGAGGATGTGCCCGACAGGTTCTGTATGATTGTAATATGCTGTAGCGTTTATCTTCTCAATGTGTATGACGTTTTGCTTCAACGGGGATGCGAGACTAAAAGAGGCAGTGGAGGAGAAAACGTGGAAGATGGCATCTCTCACAAAGTTTTTGCCTTGGTGCTTGCCGCTCTTATCGCCAGGAAGCTTGATCCGGGGCGTTGGCAGTGTGATGTTGAACTTGGAGAGAGCATCACCAATGAGAGGCATCCCAGGGATGCTGCCTTTATGAGTTTTGAATGTAAGTGTTGTGTTCTTGCCCGAAAGATAGTCGGAAAGGAGTTGTGCAGCAGCCTTGTGGCCTTTCTCTCCACCCAGAGATACTGGATCCCAAGTGGCGAGGACGACCAAGTTTGAGTTATTGCCCAGCTGTACGTCTAGATGATTGGCGATGACTTCTCCGATCAACAGCCCCTCGTGATACACGTGGACGTTTGCAGAAGGAATAGAGGCCGTATAAGGCGTGGGGTTCGTTATGTTGACCGACGCTTGCATGTGAACAGCATGCTTCGTTGTATTCAGAATGACCAAATTGGAGACGCGTGGTTCAATTTCCGTAAGCGATTTACCAGGAAGCTCTGTTCCAGTTAGTTAGCAGAGCCGTCCTTGGGTGCCTTGTGAGGTAACCATAATCGTACTTTCATCAATCCAAAAGCCACGTTATGCTACCAACACAAGCGAGCCGCGCATGAAAATCACCAAGGCGAAGACAGACGTTTTACTGGAATCTTCCCCTTTGCGGGTACATCCCTGAGAACGAGGTCCCCAAGTACAGTTGAGACTTTGATGTCGACACGAGCCTCGACATCGAGGAGGATGTCCTTGTCGCCGAGCAGGAGCTCTCCCATGACGTCGCTGAAGACGTCGCCATCGGTAATGTCGAGGGGCACATTGGTGATTCTGGAGGTGATCCGGAGCAGCGATTTCTCATCCTCGGGGTCGATAGTCTTGCTCGAGTTGGCCTTTTGCCATTGGTTCACGTTCAGTTCGCCAAATTTCTCGCCTTTATAAAAAAGGTCGCCACTGGCTCGGAGTTTGTTGACGCCAATATCCACGTTCAATTCAGAAGGAAGCTCCGCAAGAATATCGACCGTTCCGGATACACGGGCTTTCGAGTCCGGATCATTGGGATCAGCAAACGGGCTGGGAAGCTTGAAGTCGACGTCTGTGAGCGAGAGGTTTCGAATGGCATCATTGAATGACTGCCCCGGAAAGCTAATTGGGACGGTAACACTGCTGAGGAAGGATCGAATCCACTCTGGGATATCAGACTTGTCTGAATCTTGTCCTCGCACGAAAATCTGAGCGTCTTCACCGTGCATATAGCGCTTGAAGAAGTTATCCAGCGGCGACATGTTGGTCAGAGGACAGGCTCGAGTAAGAGTATCGGGAATGTCATTGATGAGACCAATGGCATCAACAGTAACATTAGCATGCGGCTCCACATCAATTGGCTCAGTAATGGCGGTAGCCACCATAATATGGGGCTCAGACGGGTCACAGTTGGGGACGAGGAGATCAAATGCAAGTTGCGGAACAGTGAGGCCGATTGGGTAGTCGTTGTATGCGACGATTGAAGCATTCGCACCAACGGCCATCCGCCCACCATCACCGGTAGGAACATCATGGATGTTGAGGCGGTCAATCTTGTACTCGGGAATAGAAGGAATTTGCTTAGCTATAATGGTATTAGCAAACAGTGCATCAAACAACATATACGCCAATGACTTTTCATGATATTGTTTTTTCTCCAAAGTACAGTAAGGCAAAGGAGCGGTAGAGAGATTGACCTTCAAAGACCATCGACTCGACTATATCGTGAGTTCCAAGAGGCAGAATGCCAGTTTTGAGGCTCAGTGCTGCTGAGCCGGTCACCTTGACTTGCTCGAGCTTGCCATCTAACCAGTCATTGGCAATCTGACGCAAGCTTTCGGCGTCCCCAGGGCTGAGATCGGCAACAAAATCCAGCACGGTAGTCTGTCCATCAACCAGATTGATGCTCAATGGGGGCACAACGGCAGATCCCAAGAGGGCGTTTTCGTAGGTGGGCAGATGCACGCGAACCTTTGTCTCTTCGGTATCGAGCGTCCTGACAATGCTGGTAGCCAGCCTGCCGAGGCGCCTGGCGGTATCGTCTTTGACTCGTGAGCCATCTAACTTGAAACTAGCTTGGATTCGGGCGCGAACTCCATCTGGAGTGAGAGATTCGAGAGACAAGCCCGTTGGCTCGAGGACGGCAGCATTCTCAGCGTACGACTTGACGGCTGGAGGGACAAGGAAGCCAAGGACCATGACCATCACGGTAAGGGCGGCCAGGATCACGATGGCAATAATAGAGGGCCATCGCCAACGGCTTTCTGATTTTGACGCAGACCTGTTTAGGCTATCGCTTTCGTCCTCTTCGCTCTCGTGATGTTCGCCATCGGAGAGCAACGGCGAAGACTCAGTCGCCGGCCCGTGTTCGGCTTCCGATGAGAGTAAGGGAGACGTCTCGGATGCCTCCGGCGCCTCGTTGTCTAGTGTCGTGCCATCGGCGGCGGCGCGGGACGACAACGGTTTCTTGAAGCTGATTGCGACCCGGAAATCAGGCATGAAATTAGGCATGGCGAGCCCCGGTGTTGGTGTTGGGTCAGACGGAGCGGACCACTGGATGATGCGTCCCCTGGAGAGGCGTCACCTCTCACTGCAGGCTGTTTGCAGAGCTCTGCAGCGTCAAGGGTGGGCGGCCCCAGGCGGATAATTGCTGTGGGTGGAGGTTTGGACGAGAGTGCAGGGATGGCCACTGCTAAGACGAGCTCCGATGCGTTGCGACGAGACGATGACCAAGAGTTGGTCGAGAGATTGGGCGGCTGGTGTTGTCGTCACGATTGAGCGATAGGAGTGGGCACAGGTACCTAGTACGCAAGTACGGAGCAGGACGGAGACTTGTCGCACGTGGATGGCTGCTCTCATTGGGTGGCGACCGCCGGAGCTGCTTAGTCACGCTTCTTCAACCCTCCTTGCCAGTGTCTCACCCAACAAAAGCTGCTCCCAGAGGTGCGCTGTGCTAAAGCTAAGGCAGGGGCTAGCGCTCCGTAAAGGTGCGGCACAGCGCCATCAGGTACCTAGGAGTGTGGTCACGCTGCTAACGCTTCCGCTGCTGGTGCTAGACCTAGCAGGGCTAGCTGAGGCTGGAGTGCCGTGCAACTTCAAGGTTCCGATTCCTTCTCGACTGCTTTGTTCATTGATACACGGTCGTGTAAGAGGGCATACGAGTACAGTGGAATTACGAGACAGGGCAGGTAGTCAGCACAATTAATAAGATGCCATTAGAGGTAGAGCTACTACTCTAGTGTTGGCGTATTTGGGAGCATTACTGCGCATCATAGAGTTATCTGCCTCTTCATTGATGTTAGTATAACAACAGTGGGGCTCGCGTGTCATCGACTCTTCCAATAGCACAACTGGATGAATCAACAACTCACACTCAGACTCAAGAACCTCAAAGACGTGCTTTCGTTTATTTGACCTTTTGTGGCTTTACTCTTCCAATTGTCAAATCTCCACGAACCGCCGGCGTTATCCATTCTTCCTGCCGAATGTGAGCCGAGCCTCCAAGACTGGTATTCACTTTGATCAAAACACTAGCTCATGATGAATAGGCTACGCCAAAGCCACTCTCCTCATTCCAAGCTCTGCCATGATACGATTGGAGGAATCATTCTTTGCGAATAAATGCAGGACCTTGGCAATGGGGCAGAAAGAGCCTTGGCAATGACAACCTCGTCCTCTCTTTCATTGACTTCGGGACCAATTCCGACACCCGACTCCGTGCCAAGAACATCGTGAGCTTCCTCTTTCGGCAATCATTACTTAGCGCCGACCCCTGGAACTGAGTCCATAACGACATCTTGTGTTCGTTTTCGAGCGGTGACTGCATAATTGCCTCCTTTGGGGTAACGCTCTTGCGTACAAGCATGTAGGCATCCAACCTATGTTCGGTCTTTGTTTGTCATGACTGCTTACAACGCCGAGTCCTGGCTGGGCCCGCCCTTGACCCCGACTTTTGAACCGTGCAGCCAACATGTGAAGTGAGTGAATTAAAAAAGAGAAAGAAACTCATGGTGATCGTACTTGACTCTGTCGGAGTGACATTGCGATTGTCTCTTGCGGTTCAAAAGATGGCGTTTGAGTCTTCGACAACACGCTCCTACAGGTACCATCGTGAAACTACTGCTCCGGCCTCGTGGTTAACTAAACTTAAAAATTACTCTACTTTCGTGGTTACCCTAGTGGGTCCGGCCACTTTAGCAATACTACGGTGCCTTGATACATGGTAGTCTTGCTAAGGGTGATGAGAAAGCAACACGTTTCTTGGGAATGGATGTGGAGCACGTCAGCCTACTTGTATACCCGAGGCCTCCCGACGAGCACAAGCTAGTACCATGGCGGACCTTGTAGAAAACCTGGGAAATAGAGCTTCCATATGACCTTCCAGATACTGCTCGGGCAGTATATCATGGAGTGGATAGACTCAGGACACCGAAATACACCAAACCCACTGCTATGGAGTCGAAGAAGCACTAAATTTCAAGGTGAGGCTGATTGAATGGCATCTACCTTGCAAACCTATCATTCTCAGTAAGGGATCGTCCCGAAGTGCTATTGTTAGCATTAAACTTTAAGGTAAACATCATGGAAAGTTAAATAAACTATGTTTCATGGGTGGATTTCCACCTAGTGGTGGCCGGTCACTCCGAACCCATCTCGACAAGACGAGATGGATAGTTTTACGTGTGAGCTCCGTATGATGGATTGCTCAGCCTTGTGATATACTTGTACACCGAACATGGCGTTGCATTGAGATCTGATTTCCAAGATTACTCTAGAAGTTAATCCACCAGTCACAGCTCGACCCAACCCCGATCTATCCCACATCGTTCATCAATCTCCTACCTCATTAGGCTTTGGCGATGCATCAGCTGTCTTGGCTCGCGGATCCGCCGAGATCCAACCGACTAACATCACGGTAATTCTCTCGTTTTGACACTCAACAGCCAGGGGCATGGCATAAGCATATTCGATAGTTTACTAACGGAAATGGTTTGGAACGGCGGATTTTACTCCGAAAATATGACAGGTCTCTCATGGAAACTGGCCATTACTGTCATCCCGACTCATGCAAGTTCCAAGTGGTACTATTCCCATGATTGTTGCTATCAAATTGACTGTTTGGGTGGGCAGATGTGATCATGGCTGGGCATCTCAGTGTCTATGCCCGTGGATGTACTGTACTCAAATGATACCATACCCCTTGCCCCCTTCAACGAGCCGGATAGTCAGGCAAAAGTATAAGTAACCTCAGGTCCGTCGATCATTTCCTCGAGAACCATCTCCTTTCAACACGGTCTTCACATTAAAGCCTCATCAAAAGAGCCAATCACTCCCAAAATGGTTGCTATCCAGTCCATCTTCGCCGCCGTCCTGGCTATCCTGCCTGCGGCCAGTGCCACCCGAAGCTTCTACAACGACGGCCACCTTAACGGCTGGGACTTTGTCCGCCATGAGAACCAGGGAACCGTCTCCGAGGTCTCCAACGTCGTCTACAAGGGCACCTCTGCTCTCAAGATGACCCAGACCTACACGCCCGGCTACAAGGACCGCTACCACTCCGAGGTCGACCACAACCGCGGCTACGTCCGCGGCGAGGAGCAATTCTACGGCTTTGCTTTCCGCCTCTCCGAGGACTGGCAGTTCCAGCCTCAGTCTTACAACATTGCCCAGTTCATCGCCAACCGCCCGGGCGCCGGCTGCGGTGGCGACGACTGGATGCCCTCCAGCATGTTCTGGATCCAGAACAACCAGCTCTACGGCCGCTACGTCAACGGCCACTACCGCCAGCCCAACTGCGGCCGCAACATCGTCACCCGCCCCAACCTTGCCACAGTCAGTGCTGGAGTGTGGCACCGAATCGTCCTCCAGATCAAGTGGACGTCCGACAACAGCGGCTACTTCAAGGTCTGGTTCGACGGCGTCAAGGTCCACGAGGAGTACAACGTTGCCACCACCGTCGATGATGACAGCGTCTTCCAGTTCCGCGTCGGTCTGTATGCTAACAGCTGGCACGACGATGGCCACATGACCGGCAGCCAGAGCTTCCGCCAGGTCTGGTACGATGAGATCTCCGTTGGCACCACCTTTGCCGATGTCGACCCCGACCTGCACTAAATCATTCATCATTGAGATAAAATTCTCGTGGGGCATCAATCGAATACCTAGAACCGCGAGATTTACGTCTTAATGTCTTGCAGAGTGCCTATTATACCCAAGTACATAGCTTTACGTCTCTGCAAACTCATGTATATAGTTCATAAAGCAACGAGTAGTTGCTGACACATATATTGACAATACAACTTTTAGTCTTGACTACATTGTTTCTTTCTAGTGCCCTGATTTCAGTATGATTGATGTGATTCTATTTTCTTGACTACATACATACCTATACATCAATATCTGGGGTTTGCATGCTAGCATCCCAATGAGCTCCAGGGCTACTTAAATGCCTGAGAATATCTGCTGTTCTCACAATCAAACTCGTGGCATGGAATTTCAAATACTACATAGGTAATAAGGAGTGCTAGCTAACAAATCCCGTCATTAATTAATATTGTTTGGTGTGATAATGGCTTGTGAATCTCTCAAAGTGCTTGCATATTGATTGCTGTCAAAAATCGCTAGGAGCGCCGGTCGACCCCACATTTCCGTCTTTCGCCAGCTTCATCGGCTCGATGACTCTTCAACAGCTCTGCTAAGCTCTTCATGACTCTGCATGTACTTTTCATAACATCAACTATAAATCCAACCACATTGTGAACCTCGATTAATTGCCTCCATCTCCCCTCATAACTTCAATTGGCAATTTTCCCATTCCGCAATCGCAACTCGGAACACGAAAGCTAAAGCAAACTTTGTTCAAAGCTGCCACACAATCACAATAAAAAAAAAGAATCATGAAGACGGTAGCGGCGCGAGCATTCCGGGGCGCGGTCAATGGCCTTCAGAGCCGTGCCTACTCACAGGCAGCAGCTAAGCCTCGGCATCTCATGTCCATCAGTGACCTCACACCCTCAGAATTCTCTTCTCTGGTGCGCAATGCAGCTGCTCGGAAACAGGATGTCAAGTCCGGTCGCGTGCCCCGGCTCAGCGGCGGTTTGGCCGGTGAGACAGTGGCCATGATGTTCAGCAAACGGAGCACGAGGACTCGAGTGTCGACTGAGGCAGCGGTGACGATGCTCGGCGGGCATCCCATGTTTCTGGGCAAGGACGACATTCAACTTGGCGTTTGTACTTCCCGAGAGCCCTTGTCATGAGGACTCATTGCTAATTACCGTGTACAGGTCAACGAGTCGCTGTATGATACCTCTGTTGTCATCTCATCAATGACGTCCTGCATGGTGGCCCGAGTTGGTCCTCACTCAGATGTTGCCGGGTTGGCGGAGCACTCGACTGTGCCTGTCATCAATGCGCTCTCAGACGACTTCCACCCGCTGCAGACCATTGCCGACTTTCTCACCATCTACGAGGCCTTCCCATCCTCTCTATCAAGTAACAACACCCTCGACCTAAACGGCCTCAAGGTTGCTTGGGTGGGTGACTCCAACAACGTGCTCTTCGACCTTGCCATTGGCTGCGTCAAGACAGGAGTCGACATCGCTGTCGCCTCGCCCCAAGGCTACGGCATCCCCGATCACATGAGGCAGCTCATCAACTCGGCTGCCAACGGCGTGCAGTCGCCCGGCAAGCTCTCAGAGACAACCATTCCGGAGGAGGCCATTAAGAATGCCGACATTCTGGTGACTGACACGTGGATCTCCATGGGACAAGAGGCTGAGAAGCAGAAGAGGCTCCAGGCTTTCGCCGGCTACCAGATCACAAACGAACTGGCGAAGCGAGGCGGTGCCAAAGATGGCTGGAAGTTTATGCACTGCTTACCCCGACACCCAGAGGAAGTTGCGGACGAGGTGTTTTACAGCCCTAGGTCTCTTGTCTTCCCCGAGGCAGAGAACCGACTCTGGGCCGCCGTTGGTAAGTTTCAGCCTGCGGCTGCTACTACCCATAAATGGACGGCATAAAGCTAACTTGTTGTTTCTCTACACAGCGGCGTTGGAAGGATTTGTTGTAAATAAGGGTGTCCTTGAGTAACAAGCTGAACTTGTGTGATTTGGGAGGAGTTGACAAAACGGTGAATTTGGATGTATGCACGCGACACATAGGCAGTAAAATTGAATTCATAACATTGCTAAACCAACGATCCTTTCTCCACCAGACGCCAAGTGTCCAAAGACCCTAGCTACATACAAGTTCGCAAGAATAATCGGGAGAAGAGTTCTTTTAGCCAGGAGGAAGCTGGCTAGCATCGACAACGTCGTCAGCATCCTTGTGAAGAGGCTCTTCGTTGTACTTGTGCAGGGGTGATCTGGGCAGGGCCATCAGACCGGTACGGGCAGACTCGAGGATTCCAAAAGGAGAAACAAGCTTCAAGAATGAATCGATTCTCGACTGCTTGGCAGAACTGTTATAGAGTAGTCAGCACAAGAGCACAATACCTGTTCCGGCGATGCGCAGGACTTACACTTCAACGATGCAGCTGGTAGTACTAATATCCAACACCTTGCCTCCAAACTGGTGCGTGAAGTAGGTGATGGTCTTCAAGTGCTCGTGCTTGTGTCGAAGGGCCTCACTGGCAGCCAGCTTGCTAGGGTGGAAGTCCTCGGCCGATTCCTCAAGTGTTCGCTCAAACTCGTTGCCATTCTCGCCGTCTTGCTCGCCGTTGCTCATCTCGCGGTGGTGGGCCAGCAGCTCCTCAAAGTACTCGGGTCCAAGAATGTTGACCTTGGCGAGGAGCAGCTCACGCTGGACAAGGGCAGCATTGCTGTAGTCCAGGACAGCCCAGACAGGCACCAGATCTTCCAATTGGCGTCTGGCCTGCTCGACAACGCCGTCCTGACCAGTCAGGACGATGGTCATACGGGACAGGTCCTCCACCTCGGTGTTGCACACGACCAGTGAGTCAATGTTGAAACCTCGAGCGGCGAGAATACCCGAAAGCCGAGACAGCACACCTGGCTCGTTCTGGACCAGACAGTTGAGGATGTGACGCTTCGGGGGCGCCATGGACGGCGTGGGCGTCTCATACAGAATGTTGGAGACGGCGGCCTGGGCTGACCATGCCGGGGGAGTGTCAGTGATGGGCAGAGGAGCCGAGCGGCGTCGCAGAGCCTTGTAGGCGATGGCAGAGGTCGAGCTGCTGGACGAGCTGTACCGCACCGTCGTCCTCGCAGCGGCGGCGAGGCGCAAAGAGGCGCCCAACGGCCGAAGCGAAGCCATGCTGCAGCGGTTCCTAGGCGGTCACTGCAGGACAGCAAGTTCGGGCGATGGAGTTTGATGGTGGATTGGGCCCGTGGTTGTTGAGTCAATGAAGAGGAAGAGGGAAGGGGAAGTCGAAAAGTTAGTTGGCCTCGAGAGTTGGAGGCGGGCTCCGATAAACCGGAGGCTGCTGACTGACGCAGCGGCTTAGCATGGGCCAGGACTGCTGGCATCTCAACACAGGTACTTGTACTTTGCATGTGTAATCGGTCTACTACTAGGTACCTTAGTGGTTATGGACGCTACGACAGTTCCCGTTGATGACCGGGCAGTAAACTTGCATGTGCAGTAGCTCTAGCTCTGCAGCGGCTGGTTTACAGTACTGTGGATGGCAATCCGTGGCAATGTTAGCAATTGCTGAAAGCAGAGGCTGCCCCGCGTATTCTCTTCGTTCCCCGCGATCCAGCAGCAAGATCCCACCTCAATGTTCATGGAAGCACCAGATATTTTTATGACGATTTAATTATCTAGTGTTCGTGATAGATGATATCCTCTGCTTTTCAATTGAGCTTTTAACGACCCCATTGGCTTTCTGGGGATTTGTGATTTCGCAGTTACGAGTATTACTCCGTAGTCGAAATTGGAATGGCCCCCATTGAAGAGCCCGACGTCCTGCAGCAGCCTCACGTAAGAGTGCCTGCTGGAGCACCGCTTTACAGTAGAGACCCTTGACCTGTGCAGCTCCGACACCGCAGCCTTCACGGGCCATTTTCCAGATCGCTTTCCCCAGTTCCAACTTTAACTCAAGCTGCATTACATAATTCACCGAGTCCAAGTCGCGAGTACATTTTTCCGATGCGGCTGGACGAGTCGCACCTCCCACGAGGCTAACCGCGCCTGGTCGCTCTACAGCCAGCCCAAAGTAACCAAGTACGGCATACTCGTACGGAGCGCCTTACCTAAAATTAAAATTGCTGCTGATCCACGCACGTCGCGAGCTCTCGCGCCTTGCAGCCTTGCATCGCTCATCTGATTTTTTTTTCTTAACCGCATACATACGATACAACCCCGGCCGTACTGCAGCTTCCCGCAGCCTCTCAACCTAGTGGCCGAATCATAACCGCCATTGTCATTGCTTTGTAAACCAACTTCTTTGTGCGCGACACGATGGAGGACTCCGAGCGACGACCCAAGCGCTCCCGTTTCGACCAAACGGAGCCTGAGCCCAGGCGAGCATCGAGATTTGACCGGCGCTCTCGATCTCCCCCCACGCGCCGCCACGAAGGGAGAGATCGCAGTCCCCTTCCCAAGGAGGACGATTCCGAGACAAAGAAGCCCGCGGTAGACGCCGCCGCGGCTGCTGGTGCGTTCTGAGACCCCAAATCTGTCGAGGCGCAAATTCTCGTGACGTTGCGAACCTCACCCAGCTAATCTATCAAATAGCCGCCGCTGCTGCCAAGATCAACGCCCAGTTGCAAGCGCGAAAGGCTCCTCAGCATGTCGATGTCCCCCCGATCAAGTCTGCTAGCGGAGAGTCTGCAGCATCAGGCGACCCTGAAATGAAGCCTGAGATGTACGTTGCTGATGGCGACTACATCCAAGACATCGAGGTCAATGACTTGCGAAACCGATACCTGCTGACCAAGGGCTCTACCCAAGAAATGGTAACCAATCCTCAAAACACCATTGCACTTCCTTCGCCGCTACTTTTGGTAGCTTGATGTCCACGGCACCACGATCGTGGGCACTGAAACCACAAAGTTGACGGCTCGCAAATGCCTTCTCCCCTTTTCGCTCTCGCTAACAAACTGTCATTCTAGATCCGAAGTGAAACTGGCGCCGGTATGCATTCATCCTTGACTAAATTAAAATGTAGAATGGCGGTGTTGACTTGTATTTGCCAGACGTTACGACTCGGGGCAGCTACTATCCCAACAAGAGCATGGCGACGGCAACGGTAAGATGACATGCCCACTATGCAACTTCACTCAACACTCGTTTCTAACCGCATGTTTGCTTTGATGTCGAAAATAGAACCCTCCTCTATATCTCCACATTACTAGTACATCCAAGGACGGACTTGAGGCTGCCGTGGAGAAAATCAATGATCTCATCAAGCAAGAGCTCCCTCAACTAGTTGATGAGCGGCGATTTCGGCGTCGAGACCAGGAGCAGCAGCCCCAAGTTGAACGAGATGAATATGGACGAGTATGAGACGCCCCCCCAAAACTATTGATTACCCCCTTTGCATCTAACACTGCCTTGTAGCGGAAATGGCCCGAGGAGAAGATTCCCATCGACCTTGAACCCGTTCATGGCTTCAACCTCCGTGCTCAAGTAGTCGGCCACGGCGGTGCCTATGTGAAGCATATCCAGCAAGAAACCGGATGCCGTGTTCAAATCAAAGGCCGAGGCTCGGGCTACCTTGAAGCGTCCACTAACCATGAAAGCGATGAACCCATGTTCCTTCATGTCACGTATGTATCCATAATGGAGTCGTCTCTCTGCTTTGATCTGCCTTATTGACTTGATAACCGCAGCGGACCGGACCCAAATATGGTTACCAAGGCCAAAGAGCTCTGCGAAGACTTGATTGCCAATGTCAAGGAACAGTATGAGGAATTCAGGGCCCGGCCACCCCGCTACAATAATGACCGTGGCGGATATGGTGATCATCACCACCGGGGATCCCACGACAGGTCGCATGGTGGCTCTCACAACAACTCATACTCCTCGTACAACAGATATAATTCAGATAGCGGCGCGACCAACAGCCCTGCTCCGGCAGCCACCGCCACTCCAAATGCGGCCGACTATGCCGCACAATATGCTCAATATTACAACGGCGCCGATCCCTACGCTGCCTGGGGAGGATATGCTAAGTAATTCAGCCCTCCGTGAAGCGAGTCCTCGTCAAATGGCTAACACTTGACAGCTATGTCGCCTTGTATCAACAGTACTATGGAGGTCAGACTCAAGCACCCGGCCAGAGCTCACATGCTGCAGGAGCCCCAGGTCAATCCGCTTCGCCGCCGCCTCCTCCCCCTGCCGAAGCGGCTCCTCCTCCTCCCCCTCCCCCAAGCTCTGCACCACCACCTCCGCCACCATCTGGGCCGCCTCCTCCTGGTGGAAGCTTCAGCGCTGTAAGTGATTTCAAATCCTGTCTCACACAAACCCTCACACCCGTTACTGGTTACTTACCAATCCGATTTAGGTTCCACCCCCTCCCGGGCTTTAAGGGAATACGTCTCCATGACTGACATAAGAGCTCGCTACTCGTTTTGTTATGCTGACTTTGTACTATGCATGGTTGACAACAGGGGGCTACAGATCTCGTACACGAATGGCTTGGGGGAAGCGCAGAACTGCTAGTTCAAACGCACCGAACAAACTTTTTAGGTTTGGTAACAAGGATTCAACTGACAAGTCCAGAGATTTGAATTTAGACATAATCCAGTGGTAGGGAGATGGTCTGAACGAGACCATTATCTTTCGTTGTTGATAACTATCGTGCAAACAGGAAAAGTGTTTGGTCTTGTGTGAGAAGTCTTGACTGCTGACAAGCACAGGGTGTAGACATCAACCAGGACCAGAGTAAATGGCAGTGGTTTTTACAAAGCATGTTTGACGTGACGGTTCAAGTAGTGATTTGCATTGTATGAAGCTAAGCTCAGAACCATAGCCTATAGCAGATTATACGCACTTAATCTTTGTAGTTGATATTATCTTAAAAGTGGCGTGTGCAGTGAGGGATATCCATGCGTATGATTTATATGTAGTATCTTTTATTTTGTTTCCCACTCCATCCCCGTCAACCAGGAGGCTAGTCCCCGTATTGACCGCACCCTAACAACGGCATGCTGCTTGAAAAGATCTTGGAGGGCCTGCGATGGACAGTCCTCTAAGCTGGTTACTTGAGTAGAAGTCCCGGCCACGTCGAGTAGCACAGGATTCCATCCTGCATTGATTGAACCGACGACATCCTTGGCGTATTCATCGCCGACGTACACTTTCTGCCAACTCTGCAAGTCGGCTTCAGCAGGAGTCTTGCCGTGTCGAGCAGCGATGATACGGGACAGCATGAGCTCGGCAGCGTTAAAGATGCGCGTGTCCGGCTTCTCAACACCAACATCATAAGACATACAATGGAAGTCAATGTCATATCGGTCCTCTGGGTTCGCATCCATTTGGTCTTCTAAGCCGTACCGCGCCGGACTAACATCGAGTCCAAAGGAAGAAAGAATGCTTGGAACTCGGTCGTCGGAGTTGGTCACCACGCCAATGACGACCTTGTCAAAGCCCTGGAGCGATTTTCCATGCCGCAATGCCCTTAACGCAGGGACAAGATCGCGCTGAGCATCGTAGCCTTCACTTGAAGAGAAGCGGTGCATCAGCTTCGGAACCAGAGCAGGGGGGAGCGCCTGGTCGCTGCGAATAAGAGGCGTAAACGTCTTGTGAATAACCTGGACAAAATGTTAGAATAAACTGTTTTTTTCAAAGAATAGCTTGAGGAGTTCGCTTGCATTTGTCCACCACTTTGTAGCGCCCAGGCCGGTTGCTTTGCCGTAATTGGGGTTCTGCTCCCTTTCCTCTTTAATGGCGGAGAGTAACCGAGATTGAAGCTCACTGTCGCTAAATTCGGTGATGCCGCATTGTCGTGCAACTTCGGCGTATTGCTGGGCGACTGCGCCTTTGGGGCTGAATAATGTGCCAAAGGCGTCGAAGCAGAGCAGTAGATTTGGCTTTGCCATGTTGATGAATGGCCTTGAGGATGCTGAGGGTATCATGGGCGCGATCTCGGCCCAATGGGCGAACTACACAGGAACGCCAAGTAAGGGACGAACGTCTTTCTTTTTGCTGATCAAGATGGCAAAGCTTTGTAATGAGAAACTTTCATATAAATGATTTAATGAGACGGCATAAATAATTGAATAGGGAGAGGTAGGAGTAAAGAGCAAATCTCGCATGACCGGCTATCGGAGGGTGGAGACGGACGATCTTCAATTGAAGGGACGTACAAGGCACTAACAACAACTTCAGGAACCTGCTTCTGCTTGCTACGCCTCTCTGAAATAATGCATTTGCGGCACGTGTCAAGCACTAAATGAGCTTCATATACACAAAATGGTTATGTCTATCCTTTTATGAGCATCTACATGATACAATGGTGAATCTAGACATATCTTGGTTTGGTCAAGGGTCCAAGAAGACGCCCAGAGTGTACGGGGGACCCCGCTATAAGTTACGGGCGCTAGAGTGCTAAGAATAGAGAGTTGGCGTCTTATCGATAAAGAGCTCGGCGCCAGCTGCGTAAGGTGTCCCGCATCCGTGGTCGCCTGTCCTGATTTTGACGTCCCGAACATTCATAAACCGACCAGTGCAAAGCAACCCGGCAAGAAATGAGCCATCAAGCGTATCCTTCTCACGACCCTATAAAGGAGCCGCACTCGGTCTCTGTCAAAGTGCTCAGGTACGCATCCAACGCTGGTCAATTGAGTGGATATCGCTCCTCACCTAGACAATCACCAGGCTCTCTCAGCCATCACTGGTGACGCAGTATCCGATAGATCCTCCATTCTCTCCTCCCAACACCAAGTCGCAGCCGGCGCCCGCCTCACTCGCCTACTCTGGCCCTAATACGAACCCAGACCCTTTCCTGCTCAGCCCGATCCTCAACCTGCCGGTATCGTTTGGCTCGGCCTACGTGGGCGAAACGTTTAGCTGCACCCTTTGCGCCAACAATGATCTCCCCCCTGATGCGGCGAAGCGCATACGTGATGTTCGCATTGAGGCTGAGATGAAGACCCCTGGCCTGGGAGGCACCCAGAAGCTTGAACTCGGGCCTGCGAACATACACGGTGCGGCGCCCGCCGGAGGGGTGGATCTCGAGCCGGGAGGAACGCTACAGAAGATTGTTGGCTTTGATTTAAAGGAGGAAGGCAATCATGTGTTGGCCGTGACGGTGAGCTACTCCGAGGCTACGGAGACGAGTGGGCGGACGCGGACGTTTAGGAAGCTTTATCAGTTTATATGCAAGGCATCCTTGATCGTGAGGACCAAGGTCAGCAGCGTCAACTCGGATACAAGCAACGTCAAGAAATGGATCCTCGAGGCACAGCTAGAAAACTGCAGCGAGGACGTGATACAGCTTGAGAAAGTGGAGCTAGATACGGAGGAGGGCCTGGGCTATCACGACTGCAACTGGAGCTCGGACGGGGACAAGAAGCCGGTGTTGCACCCGGGCGAGATTGAGCAGGTTTGCTTCCTGGTGCAGGAGAAGGGTGCAGACAATGGCCCACGGCTGACGGCGGACGGAAGAATGATCTTTGGTGTGTTGGGCATTGGGTGGAGAGGGGAGATGGGATGTCGCGGGTTTTTGTCAACGGGCAAGCTTGGTGCTCGGGTTCCCGTTCGATGAGAGAGAGGCCAGGGAAGCTGGGAAAGCTGTTTCGTTGACACAGAGGCAAGTCAGGCCAAGGACTATTACAGAGCGTTTTGTCTAAACGTTCCGATTTACGGACCGGACCAGCGTCAACTCGGCTACCGAACATGAGTTGATGGCGTGGCTGGGCGAAGTGCATGGCGTTTCATAGACATGTACTGGAGCAAGGGGGGAGAGGCATCATCACGATACACGATTTACGATTCACGAAGGAGGGGGCCAAGCCACGTCCAAGTACAGGGGGGGCAATGAGAGCCCGATGGCCCGGTCTGACGGCCGTCTGCCGTGCTAGGATACGAGGACGCCGGATCACAGAAAGTCAAGAGCCGATGGTTACGGAGCACAGCATATGCGTGTGCGTTTCCGCTCTGTTTTCTTCTTCTTTTTCGCACAAGTACGACTGTGGTTGATAGGGACTTTATGGGTGTTACTTGGCATGGAGGATTCTGTGCTACAAAGACTGGGCGTCTTATCAGAAGAGACAAGGTCAGCTATGGAACTATCTGGGTAGGTAGTGTACGTTTGACGATATGGGAGAGACACGGCCAGAGGTATTCACAGCAGTATATCTAGACCATCTTTGAATCAATGTCACTGTTATAGAGGTTATCTTTAACAGTCAATTGGCCGCGATTGCATGTATGCATACTCATGCAGGGTCTGCTATTACTGGCGTTTTCCCATGCCGCTCCAAACCCAACGCTAGCTGCTAACCTAAAACACCTATTCATGATTTCAGTGATACGCTCACCAAGTACGAGCCCATCTATTAATAGGCAAGACGTCGTGTATGCAAGGCCATGTGGCCCGATTGCTGACGACGCATATCATACGAGTTCTTACAAGTTGCGAATGGCCGCTGCCAAAAAAACGCTTTTCTTTTCCTGAGACTCCGTATGTACGAAGTGGCAGTATCACATCTCAGACCTTCTCCCCCCTTGCAACATTTAAGGGGTGAAATAGTGCCTTACAAGAAGAGACTAGCAGCACGATAGGTAGGTAGTAATGGATATGGAGTTCGGAGTATTTTTTTTTCTTCTGTTGCTAGGTATGAATTTTATTCTTACAGCTGAATGGAAGACGATGGATGAGCATGGGGTAGCTGATCAAATAGTAATATGAAGGGTTTGCTGAAGCTCGATGTGAATTACACGTCGATCTGGAGACGTAGAAGATGATGAATACTAGCCATAGGATAACCAGGAGTGATGATGTCTAGTAGTATTAGGGAGACTCGAAAAGTTGAATTGAGGCCGTAATTCATATCGGAGTGGTGTGAAGCCGCCAATCGGGTACAAATGCGCCGAGTTGAAGAAGACGATCGACAGAGGGAAAAAATGGTTAAATGTGATCGGCGTTCGGCCTTCCGTAACGAATTGGGCCGGTTGAAGACTTGACGTAGGAGCTGATGAGAGGCGTGGCGTTACATGATTGCTTGGTCCCTTGGCGACGTTGGTGACGAATTGGAGGGGTCAAGTCTTTTGAAGAAGGTAGATTCTCTCTAGAGCAGCCCGTGATCAGGATGTTCGGTGATACCCCGTATTTGATAGTGGTTTGATTCACCTGCTCGTCATTAAAGCTGCCTGTTGTAATGATATGAGTTCTGGCGGCATCCGCAATGGCCCGTGATTGCAGTCACCATCGATAACATTCCGTGATCCAGGTTGATCACGAAAAGCAAGGGTCAATTTGGATTGAGCAGTCCAAGTGGGTGGCTGGCTAAGATCGTGACACATCATATGTGGGGTGTCCTGAAACGGCCTGCAGCTGCTTTCTTCCAGTCGTACCAATTTGTCCAAGTAGGCTGCTGAATCTGCAAAGGGTGGCCATCCCCTGTACGCAGCATCTACAAGTATCGTATGTACTCGTACTTGCACCGCAAAGAGGTTCAATGTTCCTAGATGGGCTGTAACTTGTGACACATCACCACCCGTCGCTGCTCGGTCTGGAGTTGGTCAAGCCTCAGAGAGGGGGGCGGTGATCGAGGATAGCCAAGGGGGGAAACAAGATTCGACGGAAAGACAGTTCAAGAACCAAAAGCTAGCTGTATCCAGCCATTTAGCCAGCTCGAGGAGAAAGGGGTCCTCCCCTCATATGTCAACGTGCTCCGTATCCCAAGTCCATGGAGACGAATCTTGTCCCGTATACGAAGTCCTCCGCCCATATTCCCATGTTAGTTCTCCTTAGTGCGAACTCGCGCAGCACTTGCTTCCCAAGGCCCGTGCTTCTGCTTCCCAGCCGGAGCCAGAACAACCTTGTCCAGGGGCTAGTTGGAGACCGCTAAAGTTGGGCTTTTGGGTTGATTGCTTCCATGTCCATGTGCGTCGTCCGAGTGCTTGGTGCTGTCGCTCGCGTGTGTGGCTGTACCTGCGTCTCAGTGGCGACAGGAGGTCTCTGCTGCATACAGTACGATACAGCAGATACGCACCTGTAACTGGGCCAAAGGAGTCCATCCATAGCATCCAGTCAATCAGAGCGCCTTTGATTACATGTAGTGTTTCCCCTCCCTCCCCTTGTGCCTCGAGACTGTGCGCAAATATCGCCTGCAGGGAGGAGTGCTGCTCAAAGCCACGATGGATGCAGAGCAGAGCGATTGCGGTGAGGAGAGAGGAGAAAGCCCATCTTATTATCGATCAATCATAATCCTGTACCGTAAAAGTACGAAATATTACAAGCACCCCCCAGGAGTCATCAGCCGCCGCTAGAGGAAGAAGGCCGACGACGAGCCAGTTGACGCGAGGCGCGCCTACCGCCCTAGATGTGCCAGGGGTATCCCTGACGCCTTGGGTTGCTTGGATTTGGTGCCTGGTTCCCAGAGGCTGTGATAGGAATTTCGGCTCTGGTTCTGGAAGCTTGTCTGCATCTCTCGAGAGGCACGGGTGAGGCAACACATCACGGGGCGCGGGAAGAGATGATGTTGCTGTACCAAGGACTCGTACCTGTAGGTGATGCACGTTCTATAACCTGGTTGATCATCTCTTTCGCCTGATGGACGTGGTTGCCATGCCTCTTGTTCTAAGAGGAGGCGGAGTTGTGCTAGTCTACGGAGTGTCCACAGCAGCTTACTCCGTACTTGTACATGCGCATACATGAGGCATGCAAGTCATGGAGCATCGATTATGGAGCTCGAGATTGGCTCTCGGATCACCCTTTCAAGTCTGGGGGGGGGGGGACTGTACATAGTAGGTAGGATTGCTGCTTACCAGTCGACCAGCGCACAACTGCACTGGTAGACACACCTCCCGATAGCCGTCTGGTCACTTTGGTTCTTGGTTGACCGGGGACTGCCCAACGACTGGCCGTCCGATTCTGTGGCGATGGCGCTTGGGAATTATTAGCATTGATGCTGTAGATTTTTCGCATATCGACCTGCCTTGTGCTACGCCAGCTACATACTAACCTAGCAGCATCTCTAATCAGCCTAGCACGAGCTGCCTGGACGTCGATAGTATGAGCTTAGGGCCGGCAGTGTTTCCGCTGCCTGTCCGGGTGAAGAGAGATCAATGCCGGCCGTTTGTTTTGGGGGCGGTTGGAGATGATGGAACAAGTAAAAAACGACACCTCTGAACTTATTCTCAACTACCTAGGTACACTGTGGTTTGCAGGGCAGGTATTGGTATTGGATGCAGTACTTGTCGTAGGAGCGGAAACCTCCAGGTCTTGTTCCATCTTTGTGACTCGTATCTTTTGCCCATCCTCTTCTCTAACCCGCATGCATTAGCACGCCTCCTCAGTGCCTTACTTGTACCCAAGGAAGATGGATGTCTTGTAACGTAATGGTAACTGTACCTTTAGGTACTGGGTACCTGCCTACCAAAGGCACACGTACGAGTGGTTGTTCAACATCTTCATCATTTGCTCCGAACCGGCCGTCTTCAGCTTCGTATAACGCCCTGCAACAGGTATAAGACACCAGGTGGGCATAGATCCTGCAGTCAGTTGGTTTCCCGGCTCTCCTGCTGACATTGAATGTGAATACGCTGCCGCTTCCGCTCCGTTTAACACCCTGATCCCAGACGGATTGTGAGTACGAGAAAACGTCATCGCCTGCCGCCGTCCTGCACCCGATGCAAAGACGGCCATGCCGGAGCACTGATGCGACTGGCCAACAGGTCCGGAAGACGATGCACGGTGACTGATTTGGATCCCTGTTTCTGTAATCCGTGGACGTTTCCCATCAGCACCGGGACGAGTAACGGAGTTGGGTGTACGGAGTAGAGTACGAGTACAAGAACCAACATACGGTATCAGCCTCTCGTGCAAGTACAGCCAAACCCGGCAGCACCCAATTATAATGCTTACAAGCACTACTAATGTTTGCTTAATCCCTGTGGCTGCTCCGTGCTATTTCTGCCGCTGCTTCTGCGAGATGCATGACCCGTGCGTGGAAGCCCAAACTAGTAGGTGAGCGAGGGCAGCGGAACGCGACCTGCAAGCGCTCCATCCGTACTGGTACTTGAATACTCGGGATGCAATGGAGTGTTCGTCCTCTCAAGCCGGGCTGGAGTTTAGTGCCATGGACGCAGCCATCATTCTTTGCAGCGCCATGCCTTGTACTTGTCGCCGAAGTAGAGACTACCCGGCGCCTTGGAGTGCCGTCGATTCCCTCTGCCATACGGCTCGACGGGGTGGCTTGCTTCCGCAACTCGCACGCTACGGCTAGTACCTGGTACCTTACAGGTTTTGCCATTTTAGTACCGTTTGGATCCAGCGCTCCGTAACTGTACCGGTACCTTAGCCCGGACCCCTGCAAGCTCTCGCACCTTAGTACGAGTACACCTATACAGATGACAGGTGCTTCAAGAACCGTCTCCATGGTGCTTGGGATCGTGAAAAGGATGGCAGCCATTTGACGCGGCTAAAGCCCGCCATGTCCAGTCACAGCCCTCCATTGGCTCTGGCTTGAAACGGGTGGGATCAGATGCGATATTATCAACTGGGCAGAAACACAGCATTAACCATAAACGAAGGGAGCTTGAGAGTCCTGTTGTTTCTGGCTTGCACGGGGCAGTTGCTGCACTGCACTGCACTGCACTGCACTGGACGCAAGGTAGCGGTACCTGCGATTCCCTGGCTGCACCTTTTTTCGCTTGTCGATGGCTTGCAACAAGCGCCGGCGCAGATCGGTGCCAAACCGGCTGGCGCCCCCAAACTCCCCCAGCCCAGTCCCTACAAGCCCACTGTAGTGCCTGTATGGGCACCCGTCCCTGTACCCTTGCCCGTACCTGTACCTGTGCCCCGTAGCCATGCCGGGGGGGCTTTGCGCGACCCTTTTCCTCCCCTTTCGACCACCTTAATCCCCTCGAGTCTTTCGCAGTTCGCATTCCGCAGTCCGCTCTCTGCACTGCGCATTTCTGTTGCGCTGCGAATGCATTCGTTCGCCGGGTCGACCAGAGCTGGCAACCTAGTGCTGCGCTGTGGCGTTTGAATCGCTTGCGCGACCAGGAGCATCCTGGAAAAAGAATCGAGGTCGAGGCATCGATCGAGCTCTGCTCTGCAGCACCAAAGCCAAAGGGGCTCACGAAACCCCCCCTCCCACGGCGCCTTTTTTCCCCAGTCCAATTTCACGACGATTCTTCTCCAGGTCGACCTCGCCCTTTTGCCACTTTTCCTCCTCCCTGAAATACGCCGTACGGTCCAATCAATAGAAATAGGAGGCAGCGTCCTTGCCTGTGTCTTGGTGCGTAGCTGTTTCACAGCTTTGGTGGCGGCAGCGATGCCACCTACCGTCAAACAGGCTCCATGCCCCTGTCCTGCGTGCCCCTACTGACTGTCTTGCAGCATTCAACGTGCCACGCGCCATTCACCGACTGCACGTTCCTGAGCCGAGACGAAAAGGAAATATAAAACCAAAAAAATATTGGGCGTTGGCACAGGAGGCAAACCCAAGCCAAACCAAAGAGCAAGGCCACTGAGGGGCTGCAACTGCACAATTGTCGAAGCAGCAATCGCCGTATCTGACGGTAAGGGGGTCAACTCTTGACATGACATGGAGGGCTCATCGACTCCCCTGGCGGAATACTTCTGGATCGCCGGCATAGAGGCGGTGATTTACGATGAGTCCTTGCCGCCAGTGACCCATTCCACCGAGACAACCACCATCGTCGAGGATGGAGAGCCCGAGGATGAGGAGGACGCTGCTAGCAACCACACCAAGCCAAGCGCCGCCCGCCACTCTCGCCAGAATTCTGCCAACCGTTTCTCCAAGCTCTCTTTGGACGGCCGAAATTCCGTTCAGACCATCGAGGAGGATGATGGCAACACAAGGAGCAACAGGAGCAGCGCCACTATAAAGGCCAAGCCAGGCATTGGCATTGGCAACGGCATCCCTAACGGCGATGGCGTTGGCGATGTCGGTTCGATGGGCGGCTTCTTGGGCCTTATGGGGGACTTTGATTTCGACAAGGCGCTTCTCAAGTTTGCTGCAGAGAGGGAAAATTTCCTCGAGGATCTTTCCTTCAGCGCTGGCGCGAAAACACAGGCACGAGCGCCCATGGTAAACCCTCGAGCCGAGCGCATTCGTGCCGACGAGGCTGAGCCCAGCGGAAGGGTCAGTCCTCTGAGGAGCATCAAGGGTAGCATCCGCCGCAAGATCAGCTTTAGGGATATGAACAGCTTGCGGAAGCAGCCCAGTGTTGCCAGACCCATGTCACAAAGAGCTCGTGAGTGCCTTTTCTTCCTTCTCTTCTCTGTCGTGTATAACTTGAAAGTCATGTCTAACTCGACCCCGTCATAGCTTCAATACGGACCACGAGACGACTTAGTAACTACAACTCGGTGATCCCCCCTCCCGAGCCTCTGAATACCGATCCCGATATGCATCCCCTCAAGAGACGCTTCGAGCCTATGCTCCTGGACCGGTACCCACCCAAGACTGCCACCGACGAGGTCGCTCGACGAGGAAAATTCCCCGACTACGTGCCCATGTTCGCCTTCCCCAATGATGTTCAGATTGTCTCGTCCGATGATCGGCCGAGGTCTACCTGGCATGGCTTCACCATGACATCCGACGACAATTCCAAGTTGTACGGCATTACGCTCATTGTGTGGACAGCACTGCCTGCCGATGTGGCCGAGGTTGTGGAGAACAAATGCGAGGACTGGCGACAGAGCCACATGTCCAACGAGGAGCGGGAGCTGGCCGCAAGTCTGGGCGTGCGCCTCGCCAGCGAGCGATCGCACTTATCGCAGCTCTTGGCTAAGCTTGGGACGATTCCCTCAGGCACCCCGGCCCGCGATAGGCTCGAGGATGAGATCGGCGGCGTCGAGGAGAAGATTACCCTCATGACAGACATGCTTAGGCCCCTGAGACACGGTGCGGCTTCCAGAATTGAGGGCCTTACGACTGGCGAGACAGGTCTCTGGGCTCCACGCGCGTATGGTATTCTGGGCAGAGATCCTGCAAACATGGCCTTCTGGAAAGAATGGCTCAAGGCGATAGTTGTTCCCATGACCGACGGCGCCGTCCTCAGGATCCCTCCAAGCTCTCCCAAAGTCGGCCGATGGCAGCCTTTGGAACAGTATGTCGTCAATCTGTGTACCGAGGCTTTTAGCCCACTGGGCTCCAAGACTCAAGTCGAGATTGGCGTACGAGAACTACGCCTCTTCTCCCGCAAAGAAGCGGCCAACGAGATCCCCGGCTCTAGGACCATTGATATATACGCTCTATTCAGATGTCTCTCCCTCGAGAACATTGTCGCTCTGTTTGAGTACGCCATGTCCGAGTCTCGCATCATCTTCCTCTCCTCTCACACGAGCATGCTGCACTTGGCCTGCCATGCTCTTGCAAACCTTCTGTACCCTCTCAAATGGGCAAGCATCTTTATCCCTATTCTACCCGCCAGGTTGATCTCTGCTCTTGATGCCCCCTGCCCATATATCGTTGGCGTGGAGCGCCGTTATGAGCGAATCGATCTCCCTGATGATGATTATGTCCTAGTTGATCTCGACAAGGACACTATCGATGCTACGTCGCAGCCTAACCGTTTACCTCGACAGCATCGTAGGAAGCTGATGTCTTTGCTGCAGGTTGCGGCTCCGCACAAGCTTCGATACGGCGTTACCACAGGTCCTCCCCCTTACGCAATGGAGGCTTTCCCGTATGATTCCTTCTCATCGGAAAACGCCTCTCTGTTCACAAGCGTTGCTCCGCCGTCGACTCTCGGCAAATGGGTGTCTCAGAATTCGTCTAGCTTCGCGGATCCCGACCCCCCAACTGAGCTATTACCCCCAGTCTTTAACGGATTTTCTGTGTCCATGGTGGACACTGGTAAATCTGATCGACCGGGGACGAGCAAGTCGAATCACACTAGCCCTCAATCCTCCGTATCTCCAGTATCCATGAAATTCCCTCCCATGCCGTCCACTCCGGTCTCGCGTAGTGATTCGGGATTCGCCTTGACCGCGACACTTCGGGAGAAGCGATCTGGGCATTTTGGAGAAGACAAAGGCCGACGAAGCTCCTCTTTCGGTGTCGACAAGTACCAGCCCGTCCACCGACCTAGCCTCCCCTTCCTCAACGGCCATCAGACAAACCTATCCATCTCAACTTTGGATTCCCAGTCGTCTTTTGGAGGAGGTTATGCTCCATCGACGTACGCGGCCTCGACTTTGGCGGCCTCGACTATTATGCCCAACATGCAGATTCAGCCTGTCAGTAACACTGATACGACAGTCTGGGTAGAGGGACACTGCTTCAACTGGAACCCCAAGGATACCGCATCCGTCTGCACAATCTGCGAAGAGAGATCTGAAGGCGATGGATTCTACAAGTGCGGTGCCTGTAAGACCGTGGCCCACGGTAGATGCCTGGGCTTCGTGTCCCTGGTGTGTACCGAGGCTTTCCATGCCGACCGTGTCAGAGCGGCGTTTGTGCGGTGTCTTGCAAGCTTGTTATATACATACCGCAAATACCTGGGCAAACCCTCAAAGCAGCAGAAGAATGGTGGCCAGCTGTATGCCTTTGACATGGATGGATTCATCAAGAGTCTCCCTTACGATCAGCAGGAGTACGTTACGATGATGCGGGAGACGCAAGGTATGTTTTTGTTCTATTGTTTCACATCGTTATGGCAGCTGCTAATCAAGTTTCATAGCATTCAATGAATTTGTCCATGACAGAGAAATCAAGCTTGCCTCTGAGCCTGAAATCCGGCTCTTTGACGAGATCATTATGGCTAAGAAGGCCCGCGGACGCACCGGCCTGCCTTCGAGCTTGTCCCGGCTGTCTACGCTTCGTGGTAGCAGCGGCACCAATTCATGGGGGCTCTCGCCGTCAAGCCGTAGCGGCAGCAGCGCATCCAGCAGCGGCAGCAACGGCAAGATTCCCCCCTATCTCAGCGACACCTCAGAGCACATATGGCGCACGGCCTCTGTGCCTCTGCCCAAGGGCAACTTCCCGGGCGAATATCACAGCATCGTGACCCGGATGCCGGCTCGCCTCGACACATCGCTCATGCGTCAGCCTCGCACCATCCAGGGCGTTCCCCGTGTCGAGCCCCGCGGCCCCAAGGGGGTTGCTCGAAAGCAAGTTCCGAACATGCTGGGCGGCACACCTCTATGAGATTTCCCCCTTTCTCTTTCTTTCTTGGCTTTTTTTTCTTAACAAAGTGAAAAAGAAGAAGTGGACGGATCTTTGCATTGAAAAGGAAAGAAAAACGGCGATGTGGATGAGAAGCAAGATAAAAAACTTCAAATGTATAATAAAATCAATACGCATCGATGTAATCTATTGTCGAAAGTCACAACATACTCGCGGATGGGGAGAGGAGGAGCGGAGGAAGAAGGGGGTCAAGAGACTATTTTGTTTTCAACTGTAAGAAAAAGAAGAAGCAACGGGCATGCATGGATTTTCTCTTTTTTTTTCATATTAGGTGAAGGAGAGGCATACGACGGAATATAAAGAAAAAAACCAAATTTGTGTTGGTTTTTTTTTTCTGAACTGGTTTGACCTAAACGGAATGGGAAGCTCGTTTTCTTTTTTCTTAGAACAAGCAATTTTTTTTTTTCTTGCAAGGGAGCTCTTTGTTAATTGGACTATTTTTTGATTCGTTTTATTTGACCATCTTTCGTGGATTTTGTGGTGTGTTTGCCTGTGCACTCAACTTGCTGACCTCTTGATATTGACCTATAGATAGCTCATATAGATAGCTCGCTCATACTGTGGAATAGAACTGGAACATGTACACCAACAGAATGAATAGAATCCAGTTCGTTACTACCTAGTAGGTGAGAAAGGATGAATCGTATAGACGGTAGCAAAGTTGGCTGAATCATAATAGCTAAATAAATACAAAAACAGTCGACCAGAAAGCTATTCACACCGCAACTGACTAGATAAAAAAGCTCGGGGTTCAAACACGGACGATACAGAGTCCTTCTCCCCAATTCTGAGAACGCACAACTCTCCGTTCGAGTCTGGTGACAATCTGGTAAAAGTACGTAGCTGAACA